CCACACTTTGTGTTCCCTCCCACATTGAGCTGAAACGCCCTGATATAACTGGAATACTGTTCGAAACGACGTTTAACCCTACTCACTCATTCACTTACTTACTTCACGACTTGGTACCAGGATCCTATGGTATCAAACTTGATGTGAGGTGAAATGGCTTATAACGTCGTGTCGCGTATTTATTCACTGAATATCGACGTACATACACGTATGTATGTGCATGCGCGCGTTTTTTGTTGTTGAGAGTCCCATCCCATTGAGATACCATGACGCAGTTTTAACACGAATAACCAACTCAGACACATTACTGACACCGAGTCGTCCAGCCCCTGCAACGCCGAACGCCAGGTCTCCGGGCAGACGCTCTTTTCACAAGACTACGGAGGCGGAGAAAGGACCATCCACATCCTCTTTTAATGACATTTCAGGATAGCAATGAACAAGATGCATGGGGTTTAGCTAGTTGTAGGCTCATGGAGACATCGCCTGGATGTGTGTTTTTACCTGTGTTTACTCAATCAAGCCTACATTTGTGGCTGGATGACAGCTGTTGGGAAGGTGTGCCATGTGACGGTCATAAATGTCAGTTTACCTGAATCTGACACGGAAGGGGGTACTAAATGTATTCCGCCATTCCTGGCGCAATGTTGATCCTCCATCTATTTCTGTTGGATGTGGATCCTACTGACCTTTGGACCCGTGAAGATTCCGGGGTAGAATAGGTCTTCAGCAACCCATGCTTGCCGTAAAAGGTGACTATGCTTGTCGTAAAAGGCGACTAACGGGATCGGGTGGTCAGGCTCGCTGACTTGGTTGATGCATGTCATCGATCCCAATTGCGTGGATCGATGCTCATAATATCAATCACTGGATTGTCTGGTCCAGACTCGATTATTTACAGAAACCGCCGTCATATAGCTGGAATATTGCAGAGTGCGGCGTTAAACAACCAACCAACCAACCAACCAACCAACCTATTGACCTTTGACATGCACGTTCCAGTAATGTTCGGTGTGTGATGACACCAGAGAAGAATAAGTGAGTACGGTTTAACGCCGCTTTTAGCAATATTCCAGCAATTTCACGGCGGGGCCGGGGACACCAGAAATGGGCTTCACACATTGTACCCATGTCGGGAATCGAACCCGGGTCTTCGGCGTGACGAACGAACGCTTTAGCCACTGGGCTACCCGACCGCCAAGAGAAGAATAAGACAGGCTTACTTATGCATTTATGAATAAGGAACCTGAGTATATATCTCACAGCATGGTGAATGCAGTTTTGAAATGCGGTATCTTAAAGATACGTCTTTGGAAAACATTGTGATCGACTTCTGAGACCACGGTTACCGCTAAAGGTCATTTCTTCCTTCGCAGCATGCCTCCTCGTGATCTGTACGTGACGTCACAGGGTTTGCCACTGCGCATGTGCTGTTTACTGTTGACATGCAGGCGACGGTACACCGCTGTAATAGCTACCATGATGGGATAGTCTCGTCAGAGGCGTTCGGAAATGTCAAAAGGCAACTTCAAAGGGTAGTTGTTAACTGGCGCTTTAGTCGAGTGTGTGAAAGCATCAAGCAGCGACAGTTAATATGCTGTGGGGGATCTTCCGAGTGGATGCAGCCCTGATGAACTTGTAACTTGGCTTTGGTCTTTTGTTTTACTTCGTATCGCTAAATGGGATACAGCATAAACGTTTCAACTGTTTCGGACTTTTATCTTAGGTCACAGTGACATGGTTGTGATTATAGGCCTGATCTATGGCCCCAACTCTGATTTATACAGCGGAGTAAATATGCCGTTCATATCTTTCCCGGCTTTAGATTGGATCTGGAATTGTTTTCACTGTGTAAATCTAGGCGAAGGCATATATTCTTCAAGGTGTCAAATGAGTTTTGGGGGGAACGCTGATCAATCGTCTAAGCGCCCTAATTCGGTTTGCAGAGTTACGTCCCTTAAGCGTTCCAGAGGGCGGTCGGGAAGCCTAGTGGTTAAAGCGTTCGCTCGTCACGCCGAACGCCCGGGTTCGATTCCCGACATGGGTACAATGTGTGAAGCCCATTTATGGTGTCCCCGTCGTGATATTGCTGGAATATTGTTAAAAGCGGCTTAAAACCATACTCACTCACTAAGCGTGCCAGAGACCTCTGATCGCGGGTTCGAATCACAAATTCGTGCGGATGTTTCTAGGTTTGTCAGCACCATTTCCGTGCTCGTGTGTTTCACCTAAGGTTGCAAACACCTGAGTCCTGCAACACTTCGAGCTTTCCTCCGGCATCAAGCTGGAACGCCGTGATATAACTGCAATACTGTTAAGAGCGGCGCTGTAACTAAACCCAATTCAGTCACTCAGTGTGATGTGTTGATGTGAAGGAGATCTGGATAGCGTTGAAGGATGACATCTTATGTTACCGTTATTTGACCTGTTGCATCACAACAAAATTGAGCTATTTTCAAAAATGCAGTATTACAGCTAGCCTAGTGGTAAAGAGTTTGTATCGTCTCGCAGAGGTGTCAGTTTCGATTCCGCACAAGGCTACGATGTATGAAGCCAAATCGTGCTATCTTCTGTCGTGGTATCGCTAGGATATTGTAACACATCACAGACCTGATGTTTGCATGTATTTTGTGGTCATTGGAGAATGTTAACTTTCATTCAGTAATACAACCACGCGTTGTCGTCTGGTCGGGTGTACCCGGATCCGCCTATCCCAGATCCGCCTATCCCAGATCCGCCTTGATTTGTCAGTACTATACGTGCTCGTTGGATTTTCTGTTTTGGTTGACACGCTAATGTAACCCAAATACTTCAGAACGGCGAATAATCTCATTTTATCACCATACAAAAAACATCTCACTTGATCTCAATACAATGTACCCCTACATTGGAAACATACGCGCATGTGCACTTTATGATAAAGCAACACTAATGGTCAGATAAAGGACACATAACACCAGGCTAAGATAAACAGCTTGTCACACTCGAGACAATGCGTAAGTTCAACAGGATTCTCATAGATATAACTCTGATACGTATGTGCATCAACGGTCTAGATAGTCCGACGACCTATACGTGTTTGGACGACATTCCTCTGTCCCCATGAACATCCGGGTTAGAATAGGTCTTCAGCAACCCTTCTTGTCGTAAGAGGCGACCATGCTTGCTGTAAGAGGCGACCAACGGGATCGGTTGGTTAGTCTCGTTGACTTGGTTGATGCATGTCATCGTATCCTAACTGTATTGGTCTAAGATCATGATGTCAATCACAGGATTGTCTGGTCCAGAGGAGATTATTTTCAGACCGCTGTCGGGGGGCACGGGTGGCCCAGTCGTCTAAGGCGCCGCGATTCGCTGTGCAGAGTTGCGTCCCTTGGGCACGCCAGAAACCTATGGTTGTAGGTTCGAATCCCGGTTCGCCACGCGATTATGTTTCTAGGTTTGTCAGCACCATACCCGTGCTCGTGGGTTTCATCGAAGTGGTAAACGTCGGAGACCTGCATCACTTCGGGCTTTCCTCCCACATTAAGCTGACACGCCGCGATATAACTGGAATAATGTTAAAAGCGGCGTTAAACCCAACTCACTCACTCACTCACTCAGACCGCTGTCGTATAGCTGGAATATTGCTGAATGCGACGTTAAACAACCACCAAACAGACAAAAAACATTCCCCTGGTTCTTTGTAGAGACAATTGAACTATTATGCCGAGTAGGTACCGACCTTTGTGGAATATTTTACTGCCACACACGATCCATCAGGATAAGATCGAATGAACTGGCAAATATTATCAGTATTGTATCAACTGTAATGAAAACGTATTCATTTATTTGTACGTCACCAGCTGTTGCGTGTTTTCAATAAATGTTGAAATGGTGAAAGTAGGTTAAAACACACGCGGGAAATGTAATAATGATACTTATCATGTGATGCAGTGGCATCGAACAGCAGGAGTCATCATATCCATACAGCTATGTACATGTAATTATGTAGTGGGAAACAGAGTGTGTCACTGCTGGTGGTCTCGTGGGTTTAGCTGGGGGGTCTCGTGGTTTTAGCTGGTGGTTTTAGCTGGTGGGTCTCGTGGTTTTAGCTGGTGGGTCTCGTGGTTTTAGCTGGTGGGTCTCGTGGTTTTTTGCTGATGGGTGTCGTGGTTTTGGCTGGTAGGTTTAGTTGGCGATAGGTGCGTAGGTTTAGTTTGCAATGGGTGCACGGATTCAGTTTGAAATCAATGAGGTTTTTGAATACATGACATTTTTTTAATGGATAGCAACAGTTACTTCTTTTATTCTTTGTTAAGACGTTTCCGAGCGACTTCTTCTTGCACGACGTTTCAATCGTCTTCGTTCAGACGTGTTTTACTGTCAACGACGTTTCAGAGCTACGTCTTCTTGCAAGAAGTAGCTCCGAAACCTTCTGACAAAGAATCAATGAAGTTGCTATCCATAAAAAGTGTCATATATTCAAAAACCTTCCAACTTCTAAATGCCCATCAAAGACTTCAATGAGGTTTTGGTTGCGATGGGCGGGCAAAGTAATCAAAACATTGTATTCTTTGCTTGTTAGATGGTCTGTGGTCAAACGTTAGCTCGCCTCGCCGAAATCGTTAATTAACAGGCCTTGAGATGGGCGGAGTGTTGCTGAAATGTCGTTGAAGTCTTACTGCAAAATTCACTTAGTCATTTCGCCGTTTGTTTTCGATTTTACAAATTTCGCCGTTTTGTCTTCGATTTCGGCAACACTCTACCCATTGAAAGTCGTCTGAGTCCTTGTGTACTACTCGTGAGTGACTCTAATCTTTCTTGAGTTCATGATTAAAAATAACCTTTAAAAAATTTGTTAATGTTATCAACACTGGATAGGTGTGATAGGGTCTTAATAGCTACACTACAGCTTGTTATCAATGAAAGACACATTTACCTGTTGTCTGTGTGAATATTGTATCTTTACAAAAGTAGCTGTTTGACAGTATTAATTACTCTTTTCTTCTATTTTACAGAATCGAGCCGGTGCGATGGAAGCGTGTATACTGTTTGTGTTGGCGGCTGTGATTGGTCAATCGCTGTGCCAGTTACAAAATCAACCAATCAACGGACAAGTTGGAAGTAAGTGTACCTTGTTTGCTGAACATGTAGTTAGGTCGTGAGACTGAAATTGTGGAGGAAAGCATACGAAGCAGAGATTATCAGTATTGACGAGACGTGGTGTCTGCAAGATTTAGAAGCATCCGTGTGACAGTGTCTTCATTAATTCATGTTTATTTCCAGAGACAGTTCTTCCCACTCTCTTGTCAATACGCAATCTCAGACGAGCTCAATTTATAGACGAGATTCAATCATTTCCACCTTGTATTTGGTTTCTAAAAGATTTCAGATGAAATTTTAAGTTCTCACGTAATTCGTTTCGTGCATTTCAGATCAGAACGGAAATTATTTAAATGTCAATGGTGGAAACGCTGGTAACCAAGGCAACCAATGGAATAACGCCCCACGACTTCAGGGTCAGCAGCAGCAGCAGAACCTCGTGAAACAGTTTAATCAGAACGTGGACCAGTTTGCTCAACAGAACTTGGCAGGGGCTGCCGCACGGCCCCAGAACAACAATAACAACAACAGGAACTTCAACAACATTAATAACCAACTACCAATTAATACAGGGGTAATTGGAGCGCAAGTAGCAGGAAATAACCCGAATCTTGGAAATGTTCCAAATGTAGCATCCAATCAGAATCAGTTTAATGCAGGCCAGGGTGTTCAAGGTAACAACGCGCCTGGGGCACTTGGGTCAGTTGTCCAACCAGGATCCAGCAACATTCAGGCTCGAGTACAGAACGAGGCTCATGTAAATCAGCCTCAAGCTGTCGTCAATGGTGCTCAAGGTCAGCAGGTGAACCAGCCAAACCAGTTCAATCAACAAAATCAAGCTAATCAGCCGAATCAGGTCAATCAGTTGAATGCAGGTAATCAAGGTAATCAAGCCAATCAGCCGGCTCAGGGTAATTCTCAGGTCAGGGAAGAGGTCAATGTCCCTGCTGTGCAAACAGAAGCTCCACATGTGCAGCAAGACACCGGTGCTGGTCAAGGTCAAAGTGACAGAAGAGCAGACACCATAGCAGAGGATGACAGACAGAGGTCAGCAAGGTTGGAACGACCGGTAGAGACCATAAATGACAACAACCAAAATGGTGTCAATGGAGATCAAAGAGGCGTAATCAAAAACGTGGCTGATGGCGTTAATCAAAACAACAACCCACAGCCTAACACCTTCAACGCCAACAATAACGCCGGTGGAGCAGGATATCAAAACTTCAATGGCGGGGGCGTCAACATGAACGATCAGGGCCGCAACTACCAGCATCAGCAACGTGAAATAGGGGGCATCAGACTGACATGGGACTGGAGCGACTTCGCCATCACCTTCGACGACTATGGCGGGGCGGAGATGAAGGTGAGGCGCGCCCCGCACTCCACCACAGGGGAACCCTGGCCGTTACCCCAATACTACGTCAAGAAAGAGAAGAGGGTCTATAAACTGGACAAGGACCTGTTTACGTTCAAGGTGATCGGAGAGACTTGTGACATCATTCAGGAGGCCGTCGAGAGGTACCGTACGCGGGTTCTCGAGGATGCTGTGGAGGACATGTACGACAATCTACAGAACGCCCCCGGCACCAACATCGACGACCCGGCTTTGAAGTACGACAAGGACATGTACACGAAGGCTCACGTCATCGCTAAAGTTGACATCAAGATTCGAAAGCCGTGCCAGAAGTTCCCGTCGGTAGACTCCGATGAATCTTGTAAGTTTCATATTTTCAATATTAAACTATACATCTAACCAGTAATATGACAAGGTAACAATCACAGCGAGTCTTCGGGAGTGATTGAGTATAAATTTACGCCACTTTTGGCAATATTCCAGTAATATCACGGCATGGACAACAAAAATGGACTTCACACATTGTACCCATTGGGAATCGAACCCGGGCCTTTTTCGTGATGAGCGAACGCTTTAAACCGCTAGGCTCCACGTCCGTCTTAAAGAACGTCTGTGATTTTTTACGTTGTCACTCGTCAGTGTTATTCGAATATGCTAGGAATCTTTTGAATGCTAATCTAGGCGTGTTGGCGGCGTATTGAAGTAAGGCCTCGCTCACAAATCCTAAAGCCTTCCATCGCGGTTGTCACGTTTTTTTATGATTTTGCTAAAGCGTTAGAAATGTTTTTCGACCTCTTGTGGCCAAGTTCAAGAATTAGAGGGGTTGTGTTGAGTCCGGCTTGATTATTTCAGCATACCCTTCTGTCACAAAATAATCCCGGCGTTCTTCGTGTTTCATTTCCAACTCAGTTGGTGATACGCACAGGGGGCTTGAGACTTCAAACATCGGGGTCCCGCTACAGCCCAATCAGTGTTTGGGGAAAATATCAAAGAGCTTGACACGAGAATGTCATATTTGTAGTAGTTCCGTTTGGCGGCATAAGGCATCCAGCTGTAATAGGATAGGGCACCAGGCGCAGTGATATAATAACCCTTCACATAATATGTGAATGCGCAGTCCTGTAAGGATAGTCCCTCGGAAACGGAATGAAATTAGCACGTGCGTCGAGTGCAGTAAACACATCCGCGGAGGGTTATGGAATTGTGATCAATCGGTTTGATAGATGATCTGTTCTGAATATTTCTGCTCTTTTGTTTGTTAAGAAGGAGATTGTTTTTCTGATATCTAAGGCATGACGACGCTATTAAGTTTTGCGATCATCGCGTTCTATGATGTGTCAGAACTCAGTGACTCAAAACTTAATACTTTATTGATTTTCTTTGGATTCTTCTTTGTAATACGTTCTTAGTCGAAATGATAATTTGATATACGCAGTTGTTTGGGGATCGATGTAACATATCAAAAGATAGTTAGGGAGGGCTCGCAGGGTCTGAAGCATATAGGCTCGCAACTCACCATGTGGGGTGATTTCCGTCCGCCTCATTCCTAGTGGATACCAAGGGGCGGTCGGGTAACCTAGTGGTAAAAGCGTTCGCTCGTCACGCCGAAGACCCGGGTTCGATTCCCCACATGGGTACAATGTATGAAGCCCATTTCTGGTGTCCCTCGCCGTGATATTGCTGGAATATTGCTAAAAGCGGCGTAAAAATACTCACTCACTCACTCACTCACTCACTAGTGGATACCAACCGTACGCTCACACATATCTTGGTATCCGTCAACGGTTACACTCCTGGGTACCCTACCCATTGTATCCGTCACTAGACACCTCCTCGGATGCCAAGTCTTTTATAATCCGGGTACCCGTTACGGATACAGTTTGGATACCACCTTACTAAGGCTTCGGAGTCGGTATCAGATAGTTGAGTGTATCCGCTAAGAGATACCCAGATGCATTTCGGGTAAGTATCCGGTGGCAACCACCCCTTTTGGTGCTCCGTAGTAACCCATCATTGTCTGAAGTCTAAATGGGTGATCGGATGGTTACATGGCCAGACCCCGAGGGCTCTAAGGGCAATACAACAGCATTCTTCCTTGCCCGGACGGCATAATTTACAGGCGTGGTAAAACTGGAATAATCGGACCACGGCGTTATAACGAAGATTAATTTTACTCTTTCCCAATAAACAGTGAGAAATATATCTACTACCTATAATAAGGTGTTGGGACTTTCTATAATTATGTATTGTCGTTCTAACAAGACATCCAGATAACGAAATATATTTGTTTCAGATGATCTGGTTGTGAAGAAGGCACGAGCATTCATCTGGGCCAATGAGGTTTGGGGAGCATTGCGAGGCCTGGAGACGTTTAGTCACATTGTTTGGCGGGGACTAGATGGCGAGGACCCGGATGACCGAGCCAAAAATGCCAATGTAAATATTATAATAACTAATGTTGTACACCTTTTTACTTATTTCTTTTAATAGAGAAATTGATTTTTAATACATCAATGCATTTTTCTTTGTTTGTTACAAGTCGAAGCCACGAGGAACACGTTATAGTCCTCACTCGTCAAGTCAAGGGTTTGGCTCAGTTCACACATTTGTGGCGCCATCTGTCTTGATATTGGTGGAATATTACAAGTAGCGTAAAACACCACTCCAAACGTATGAAGCAAAGACGTTAATTTGTATGAAGGCTTCAGGACCAGGGGGCACGGGTGGCCCAGTCGTCTAAGGCGCCGCGATTCGCTGTGCAGAGTTGCGTCCCTTGGGCACGCCAGAAACCTATGATTGTGGGTTCGAATGCCGGTTCGCCCCGATTATGTTTCTAGGTTTGTCAGCACCATACCCGTGCTCGTGGGTTTCACCGAAGTGGTAAACGTCTGAGACGTGCATCACTTGGAATACTGGAATACTGTTAAAAGCGGCGTTAAACCAAACTCACTCACTCACTCACTCACTCCAGGACCATGTGCACAACCGTATACACACAGCAAGTGCGAACATTATAGTATACATAAATACATAAAGCACATAACTACAAACAAATGGACGATGTCAGTTCATTACAACCTCGTCCCGAACACCTGGTGTTATCACTGATTTTCAGTTGTCCATTCATATAATTTTCACAGCTAATAAACGTTCATTATTTTTACCCAAAACTCACTTGAGGGTATTTGTGCAAGAATATTCCCTAAAGCTTCCCGGTAGATATATGTTTCTCAGAAGTATCATGATATAACATTTATACTAAGTTTTCCTACAATAATTAGATCCACATCAAGTGCTTTTATGACTTATCATGGTGTAATATTTATACATCATTTCATATAATTATAGTTTAGCAAGTAATACTTATCAACAGGTAAAATGCATATATAAAATATCAGTAGTTTCAGTTATAGGTTTTTAGATAAATGCTAGCCAAAGGTAATGGGAGCGCATACTATTCAATAAGACAAGAGTAATGTCTACATAGTTTAATAGATTTGAAGCATTTATCTAAAACTGAAATGATGTATAAATATTACACCATGATAAGTCATAAAAGCACTTGATGTGGATCTAATTATTGTAGGAAAACTTAGTATAAATGTTATATCATGATAGAAGTATGAAATATCCTCATTGCATGTGCCACGACCTTCTTATTTCAGTTGTTCGTGAAGGAGACGGTGATCAGCGACTACCCAAGGTTCCCCCATAGGGGGATTCTCGTCGACTCTTCCAGACATTTCTTCTTCAAAGAGACAATATTTGATATTTTGGTAAGAAAACACCATTTTTAACTTTCAAGTAAAGACAGAAGTATATTCTACACTATCATAATGAAACCACCCCATGAAGTGTCTCTCTCTGACTTGTGACCTGTGACCTTTTATGATGAAGAACGTGGTACTTCCCGTAGTCAAATCATATTCCTTGTTGTACTGACCCGGATGCAGAGCATATTATGGAGTAATAATGACCATATACCTACTTTCTTGACAACATCTAAAACGTGATCGTCCGAACTGATCAATATCACAATAGGCTATATTTCAAAGCACCTCGGCAAACATTTAGTCTCTGAAAAGAAAACAATTTCAAAATTTATTCTTAAATTGCGTTATGAGACACATCAGAAAGGAACCGTGGGAATCTTGTCATTTTGAGACCTAATACTGAAGAAATCAGATCTAAAATGCACGACGCAAATTTCATGAGAACATAATTTTTCATCTGAAATCTTTCAGAAAGCCATGAAGAATGTGTGTGTATTTCCATGGGATTTGGGGATAATTTGTATTGCAGGGCTGCATATGGGACTACGAGTATAATTTTGTAACAAAATAGTGTTGAATAAATCTAGCTGTACTATCAAGTAAATTGCGTTATTTAGGCCATCAGTTGTTGGATTGTCTGATCATGTGTGAGCACGTCGCCAGGTGTCCTGATATTGCTTAGAATTATTGACTCACGCTACCCGCCATCAGTAAGGCCATCAGTAAGGCCATCTGCAACGCCATCTGCAACGCTATCTGCAACGCTATCTGCAACGATAAGATGCTTGGCTTTTATTGTTCTGTATCTCTGTTCTGCAGGATGGGATGGAGCAGAACAAGATGAATGTTCTGCACTGGCACATCATCGACGACCAGTCCTTCCCCTACCAGAGTGAAGTCTTCCCCGAACTCAGCCGCAAGGTACTGCTGTCTCTACTTCTTGTACACTGCCATATACATGGATCCTATTTCACACAGCGATCGCGACCGTGAAGATCAGGGGTAGAATAGGTCTTCAGCAACACCATGCTTGCCGTAAAAGGCGACATTGCTTGTCGTAAGAAGCGACTAACGGGATCTGCTGGTCAGGCTTGCTGACTTGGTTGATGCATGTCATCGTATCCCAATTGTGTGGATCGATGCTCATGATATCAATCACTGGATTGTCTGGTCCAGACTCGATTATTTGCAGACCGCTGTCATATAGCTGGAATAGTGCTGAGTGCGGCGTTAAACAACAAACAAACAAAGGATGTGGTAAGTGTATATTAAACCATGGGAGGGATAGATAGTCGTAGCGGTACCATCGTTTTGTGAATTAGGACACAGGGTATATGAGTGTCAGAAATCGATGTTCATGTGTTCCGATCCCAGATTTGCCCTGGTTATGTTTCTGGGTTTGTCAGCACCATATCCGTGCTTTTAGGTTTCTCCAAGATGGTAAATGTTTGAAACCTGCACCATGTCGGACTTTTCACCCATCCAAGCTGACGATGTCCTTTGCATGATGTTTAGAATTGTCTTTTCATGGGTGGTCTAGTGGTGTACGGTGCATCAACTAGGTGTGCATAGTTAGTGTTCCTTAATACTTATCCCAGAAGGGGGTAGGGTAGTTAAAACGTTCGCTGGTCACGTCGACATCTTCCCGAGGCAAGGGAGTTAACTGACTACAGAAGTCCAGTTTTCACCCTTGCCGAACTAGACTGGAATTAGGGAGTTATATTTTGGCTGGACTAACGAATCTATGCATAGTGCAATCAAAATCGCGAAATAAAATCGACATCCTATCCTTAAACTGCCGCGCAGATCTCGGTCGATTGCAGCATTTGCAAAACATGTATACAGACAACTTAGCGTCTACAGATATGTTCCAAATCTTTTCATGTTTCTTATCAAGGTGCTGACATGATTTGATGAACTTTGCGAAGTATGACCTGTTTTATTACATTACATCTTGATTATTGATCGACGCCATTTTATTTGAAGCAAATGCAAGTGATATGAGAGAGGGAATTTGATTGGTTAATAGGAGAGACATAGAAAGAACATAGCACATATTAGCCATTGGTGGCGCTACGATCGAGCCTGGATATATTCCACCCTAGTTCGGCAAGGGTGGAAACTGGACTTTTACAGTCAGTGAATTCCCTTGTCTCGGGAAGATGCACGCCGAATGCCAGGGTTCAAGTATCCACATGGGTACAATGCGCGAAGCCAATTTCTGCTGTCCTTCTGGATTCCATCGTAAATCATTGATTTGTCTTCAGACCATTTCAGTTCTCGGGGCTTTAGGGTAGCCTTTTGGTTTTCTCATCACTCCCAAACTTAGTTCGATTCCCATACTGGTGAAAGTCATCTCTTGTGTTCCCCGAGTGATTTTGCTTGAATATTGCTAAAAGCGGCGTAAAACCATACTCACTCACTCCTTATCCCCAGTTGAATATCTATGTCCTGTGTCACTTATGTATTATTTAGACCCATGTTAATCCGGACAGCCAGGATATAACTGAAATAATTTCCGAATGGTTATTAACCCCAACTCACTCAACCATGATGCTCTTGAGCTTCAGGTATAATCGTCATCGGGTTTGCGCTAATTAAAACCTTACTGAATATGATTCATTTTCCATCCCCCAGAACAGTTATAAGTGGACCCACCCAATCACCAACTCAATTTTTCACCCATTTCCTAACAACAAATTCTCTCCCAGTAACGCGGCGTTACTGTTTCCAATCTCATTTCCTAGTCGCATCTGTACAACAATACGTCTAGAACACCCATTCATAAAGAGTGAAGCGGTGTAAAATTTCATCTCCGTTTCCTGTTTCGTTTTTTATCCAAGTTTCGATTGTGAATGTTTTAGTTAGCTCCGTACCGGATTTAGATTGATCTTCTATGGAAGTCCAAACTCGCCATTTTGTTAAACGAGCTGTCTAAGATTGATGTCTATGTTTTTTCTTTGCTGGCTTAAGATATTTTTGCCCGGTAGAGGGCGTGACTTTGATTGATTTATGCCTAGTGAAATGAGCACCATTCCCTAATCAGCTGACTTGAAGTCTTGTTTGTTAAACATGGCGGTGGAGACCTCATTATGTCGTTCGTTACCGTTCGTTTTAGCAGATCCGGATTCAACATTCTGACGGTTTTTGTACATGGGACTTTTCAAGATAGGGGGAATTAGTCTTAAAACGCCAAGCCCAACACAAACAGCTCTCAGATAAAAAAAAATCCCAGTACTTTGGAGAAAAAATATTTTCGAGAGATTAAAAGAAATGTCAGTTCAGTGAGTTTGGCTTGAAACATTCTGACTAGCATGTGGTCATAAGACTAGAAAAGGGGATGTTTTAAAAGCACGTTCACCAAACCATTGTTTCTTTTGCGTGTGACGTATGTAAATAAAGAATGTGAGCAAAAACGATGATAGTTTTTTCAACCACATTCTACAAACTTGTTTTCGTGGTGCAGTTGTTACTCCTGTCCAGGGTAGGTACAATGCTATTGACGCGGTGACCCAAAACACTAGAAATGACTGACTGATACAAATAACATATTTACACTTAAACATAACAAAAAATATTTGCACATAGGCTGTGATCGTGGGTTCGAATCCCGGTTCGCCCCAATTATGTTACTAGGTTTGTCAGCACCATACCATGCTCGTTGCTTTCACCAAAGTGGTAAACGTCTGAGACCACATGAGGCTTTCCTCCCACATTAAGTTGACACGCTGTGAAAAAACTGGAATACTGTTCAAAGCTGCTTTAAACCCAACTTACTCATTCACGAACTCGTACATTGGGTCTTCGGTTTGTTCAGTGGACTGAGGCTCGGAGTTGCGTCCCTTAAAAGTCCGTCAGCCCTCGTTCGTGGGTTTCGCCATAGTGGGCAACGTCTTAGACTTTCATCACTTCAGGCTTTCTGCCAGCATTCAACTGTTCAGGTGAAATACTGTTAGACGCAGCCGTAAACCCTGATCCAGCCTGGCCTATGGGCAGTGTTCATGTCGTGTGAAATATCGACAGACGTTTTATGATGTTACTTGTCGCCAGCATGGACACTGTTACTAAATATACTTTTGTTTCATGTTCAAGCGGCGTCAGACCATGACATGAGGTTCCAAACAACAGAATATTTACATAGAATTTCTTGATCAATAGGTTTCGATTATATAATTATACTACTCAAAAAATGTAAAGGACGCCCGATTCTTCCATAGTACTATACTTAATCTGTCATGACAGACTAGTAAGTGAGTGAGTATGGTTTTACGCCGCTTTTTAGCAATATTCCAGCAATATCACAGCGGGGGAACCAGAAATTGGCTTCACACACATTGTTCCCATGTCGGGAATCGAACCCGGGTCTTCGGCGTGACGGGGGCGGTCGGGTAGCCTAGTGGTTAAAGCGTTCGCTCGTCACGCCGAAGACCTGGGTTCGATTCCCGACATGAGTACAATGTGTGAAGCCCATTTCTGGTGTCCCCCGCCGTGATATTGCTGGAATATTGCTAAAAGCTTAAACCATACTTACTCTCTCTCTCTCTCTCTCACTGCGGCGTGACGAGCGATGTTTTAACCAATAGGCTACCCGACCGCCACCATGACAGACTAACTAGTGATTAGAAAGAATCGGGTGTCCTTGGCCTTTTTGGTGGCATAAATATATTTTTGATTGGATATCGGAGTTTGAGACGTGACTGTTTAACGCATAACAATTGGCCAGGAAAGGATGGTTACACAACCTCACAGAATGAATGATTGACTTGACTCCACGACGCCACAGCAATCACGTCTTTTTCCCTAAAACCATTTTGTAGTGTTTTCCTTATCTGGATACGACAACAGAAGTGGAAAATACAAACAAAGAACAACGCTATGTAATCACTGAAACTCAGTAAGAAAATGATGAAAATACGGTCTTAATTTCCGTCTTCAAAAACAATGATCTCCGAATCAGAGAAGAAACCAAAAAATATTTTAAAAAGTTAAACTAACACCCGTTGTCATCAATGGTTTGCGTGACTTATTCATTGATGTTCACTGCTAATTTCGCCCTTTGGAATCTGTTCCAGCGGATAATCAAAAGTGGTCATTTTCTGACCTTGACCTTATGTTTGGGTTGGGGTTGTGAAACATACCACTGCCAAGGCCATATATCCTGTTCAGACCAAACGTCTAACGCGCAATTACTGAAACAATACTTGAAAAGTAAATCAGGGCACATAAAGACGGACGTTTTCCTGAGCTTGTTGACCGATTAATCCATGCTTACGTCAGCTGTTTTATGTACATCTGCGTATGTTTCTTTTAAACCACAACAAGGGCGGCCTCGAAACAAGAGAAAAGTATCGAGAACGTCCGTAAATTAACTGGGTCAAATTAGATCGTGTTGAAATTGAATCTCTCCCATGAGGTCTGCTTTGCTCGTAGTGACGTCGACATCCATCACGACATCACTCCATTGCTGCGACGTGGTGACGTTAGGGGCAATCAGTTTGATCACATGGGACCGTTTATTTCGCAAAAACAATCTCTACCTAGGGGTGAATAGAAAACAAAGATGTTAATGCAAGATATACATGGCAAATTGCCCCCAACCAAATTCCAGCCCCCATAAAACAAATAAGTCGGTCAAATTACCGTTGGTCCTGAAATAAAAGAGGCAAAACCCTTTCTAATCGTAATATTTATTAAATTTAAAGCAGAATTCATTGTGTGATTCGGACAAGGCATAAGCTTGTATCAAGGAATCACAGGTTATCAAATATAGATGATATGAGGTGTTTTACAGGACGTAAAATTGAAACGTGTGCTGAGGCGATCAGGAGCCTAGTTTGTTCGCTCCTCACGCCGAAGGCCAGGGTTCGAACCCCCACATGGGTGCATTTTCTGGTGTCACCCGCAGTGATATTGCTGGAATGTTGCTTAAAACGGCGTAAGACTATACTCACTAAAACGTGTATCCAACGTAAAATAATGTTGTTGTTTCTGGAATAAGTCCTGTGGAGGAATGTATTTTCAACAGGCGTTCTTTTAAATGTGTTGGCGAAAGAGTTTAACTAGGAAATGCCCGGATGTCCCGTCTCTGTACATGTTTTCCGAGGCGGCCATTACAGTGAATCTCCATTATGTTGAGTGATTGGATTTTTTTTTTCTTTCATGTTGAACCACGACAAGCTGGGCAGAATGAGCCCCGTGTTAAGTACGCCATTTCCTTGACACGCGCCATTTCTACACCTTATAAAATTTGATAACCTTCTCGCCCGGAGCCCCCAACCCCTTAAGACCTTTGTAAAAATTGTTTTAATCACTTGAGGTGTTGTTGGATAATGCAGCGAAATGGGCTCATCTCCATTTGAAGAAATGTGTCTCCGTTTTTAATCTCCTCGGATGGTTTAGCCTCAACCCAGAAACACAAGGTGATATTTCCCAGTGGATGGACATTGGCCTTCCCTAAGCCATCAGCTGTTGGTACCGCTAACGTTAGTCCTGTTTTATGACGTGAGCTGTTTGTTCATCCAGACTTGTACTTCTTTCATGCTTTTGTGGAAAACGGTCTCAGACCATGCAATTGACTTCAACTGTTTTTCAACGCCAATCCCAGACAAGTCTATCACGGAATCGATACCAAAATTATTGCCAGTAGTTACCACGTAGGTTAAGTGTTTGGCCAGTAATTGGATTCTATTGTGTCTCATTGTGTTGTGTTGAGTTGATTGCTGGCCGTAACACGATCATGCAGGCAGTTCCAGACTCTGTTCTCATTTGTTTTTGTTATCTTGCTAAATATTTGTTATTCGTTTTTGTTTTCAGGGTGCGTTCCATCCAACTTTTGTATACACCCAGAAGGACATTGCGGAAATTATCGACTATGCCCGATTCCGAGGAATTCGAGTAATGCCCGAGTTTGACACACCAGGTAGGTCTTTGGGTTGCGTTTTAGCTAATATACCTGCACCTGGAACGATTATATGAAGAAACGAGTAAAAATAAGAAGAGTGAATCAATGAATGACTGGCGAGATGTTTCGGGTTTGTTTTATGCTGTTCTGTTAAGAAGGATCACCACGGCATCGTGCTTGATTTAGAAGGATCGCCATGACATGTTTAAGAAGCTTATTACCAGAAGGGTCAAATTGACATGTCAGTAATGTCACGCGAAGATCTGCCGAGGTCCTGTTACTGACGCATGAAGTTCCGATTGACGCAGCTAACGTGGACCAGCCGAGGGAAAAAGATAGGTCCTTCCGGAATACATCGAGAAGGTCCGAGGACGTCCACTGTGGCGATTACGGTCTAAAGATATACGAGATGATGCGATGTGTGCGGACAGACACTGCACTCATGATACCACAAGGGAGTCGCGAGCTATAACTGAATGCTATGCTTCCACAAGAGCATTGAGCACAGATCGGATCATGTCGGTTTAATTACTCCTGTTCACTAAGCGTTTGACAATGACAGATCGGCTTGACTTTCTTCACCTCGGATTTGACCGGCAGGCACTGTGGTCAGCTGGTGTATGTCCTATGTGACCAATGGAAGATGACCACATGATTGATAAATGCACTTTTCATCGGAGGTCATGCTATAATATCGGCAGTAAAGTTTTATACACTCTTCCGGGCAATTAACAGCTTAAACATTACCCGGGCAACCACCATTATACGACCTCATCTAGGAAATAAAAAGTCGAACTTGACGCGCACCTGTTTTGTCCGTTAGGTGGGTTCAAGTAATGTTAGGACATCACGTTCACTTTTATTAAGGACGTGATGTACTAATACAGACAGAACATCATGTCCAATCTTGGTACATATTCGATATATTGCATGTGTTTCTAATTGAAAAATTGTTCTGTGTTATTTTATCTGAGTAAACAATGATAATTGTTCAGCGCTGAGTAGTATTAATAATTCCACAAATTCTTTTGTAAAGGAAGTGCTTTCTCACATGGAGCATTGTATCGTCTCCAAGTGTGGCACCGTACTTAACTCCCATATCTCGTTAGAGCTTGTCTTAAATGGATTATTCTCGTATGCAGAAGATAAATTTTAATTTAAGGCTTTAACTGCAGAGGGAAAGCGCTGGTGCATCCTTCAGTGACAACGGCAGTTAGCTAGCCTTGCTCTAAGGCCGTACTGAATGATAAGTCCATGGGTGTACAGTAATTCTATCATTATTATAGACTTGTCTCGATAAGCGGACAGTATGCAAGTCTTGGGGACAACTTGTTCTTGTCATTTATATAATCTTGAAATTATGATTTAAACTATCATTTTGGCCTTAGAGACTTGTGCAAGGCTAGCAGTGGGCGTATAACTGCTCTCGCGATAATAAATTTCACTCTAAAGTGTACAGGCGTCATCGTCGGCATGACAACGAATTCTCATTTCCCCACGTTCCTGTTCTTGTGTCATTTCAATCCATGTAGCACTGTAGTCGTCATAGCTCGCCCCCACAAAGATTCCTTGTTAACATAGCTGCCAAGCAAACAGTGCTGCTCGGTCGGTCGGCTGGTTCTTTTACGCCACACACAGCAATATTCCAGCTGTATGACGGCGGTCTGTAAATAATCGACTCTGGACCAGACATTCCAGTGGCTGATATCATGAGCATCGATCCACGCGATTGGGATCGATGACATGCATCAACCAAGTCAGCGAGTCTGACCACCCAATCCCGTCAGTCGCCTCTTACGACAATCATGGTCGCCTTTTACGGCAAGCATGGTGTTGCTGAAGAGCTATCTACCCCGGACCTTCACGGGTCGTGCTGCTCGGAAGAGGCGAACTCAAGGATCGGTGACTTTGTTAATAGCGTGTCATAATGCCCCGTCAGCCTGGATCGTTACACTATCAATCACTGGATTGTCTGGTCCCGACTCGATTATTTACAGGCCGATGTCAAATAGCTGGACTAATGCTGAGTGCGGCGTTAAACAGAAAACAAACACATCACAGGTCGACGGTGTACACGTTGTCAAGTGTCGCCCAACACACCCCTTATACTTAAAGTGCTGGATGTAATGGTGCAACTTATGAGATTATTGTATTAACTCATTTTACTTTATTAAAGTTTGTATCGTAGTAATATATGTTACACAAAAGAAATAATGATGCTTTACCATCATTAATGCGAATGGTCACGTAACCCAGTGGCTTACACGTGCAATTTCCCAGCTCGCGGTGCAGAATTGCGTCCTTTTATCGTGTCAGTATCCGCTGATGAGAGTCCGATTTCCAGATTCGCCCATGATAATACAAGGTTAGTCAGCACTTCTGAAGAAAAAGTAATTTACAAATCAAGGCGAAATAAAATCCCTAAGTACCCACAAAATTCTAATGTATGACTTCGTGAACATGTGTTTTTGTAGTATTTGCTCGAACTGGGTCGATGTTCCTGGTGGTAGACGACGGGAGTCCAAGAGTTTTATGGTAAGCCCAGTGGCATTTGACAGTGCTGAGTCAACTACAGGGGTCATGTTTGGGCCAGGACATGTTGCGAAACGAACGTACGTCTTGAACGTTACTTTTTCTTTGCTTCTCGCCAGCAATCTATGCGCTTGTGCACATCAGGCGTCGTTCAAAATTAACATATCGGTTTTAGTTTCAACAATATCAGTTAATGCGCTTTCGTGTCACTGGGTTTTCTGGTTTCTGTACAGGCCATGGCAGGAGCACTGCTATGCGATGTCAGGCAACAAACAAATACTTACTTTTTTATGCAATCTGTGTTGGTGTCGGGTCCTACCGTTAGGGCAGGACATGCTTACCCTTTCCGCGGACGCCTGGTGTGAGCTCTCATAGTCAGAGGTCCATTCATATACTACTCGGGCGGTCGGGTAGCCTAGTGGTTAAAGCGTTCGCTCATTACGCAGAAGACCCGGGTTCGAATTCCGACATGGGTACAATGTGTGAAGCCCATTTCTGGTGTCCCCCGCCGTGATATTGCTGGAATATTGCTTAAAGCGGCGTAAAACAATACTCACTCACTCATATACTACTCAAAAGAAGTTAAAGAACACCCAATTCTTTCATATTACTATAGTTAATCTCACATGCCAAGACAGATTAACTAAAGTAATATGAAAGAATCGGGTGTTCTTTAACTTCTTTTGAGTAGTATATAATGTTCACCTTTTCGGTCCCAACTGGTTATTCTCTGGTGTGGACCATTTGTATTTATGAATCGCTATCAAGTAGTAATGATACAGGTGTTCAAGAAAAGGTGTGCCTATCCTGCCCAACCGGTAGTACTGTCACAAACACACGCAAAGGCAAGTCAATTGTTCACCTGAAAAAACGAGGACGTTGAATTCAAGTAAAAAAGGGAATTACAACGGACAATCATTTTCGTCACTGATGCATCAAATTTGGAAATGTCCTCCACATGACGACCATAAAACGTTTTGAAAGCTTAAACTTGGCAGTGAATGTTGTCCCCCGATCAAAGAATGTTTGAGCGAGAGTCGTATAACGCTCTTTGAAATATTCGTCGAAAGATGGCCGATGATCCTCTGTACTTTTCACCGATTGTAAACTGACTCGCCATGATATGACTGGCAGCAATATTGCTAAAAGCTGCGTTGAACCATACCACCACCAGCCGTCCGTAGTCGTGGGCTGAACACCAGACAATACGATAATTGATAGTTTTCTGACAGGACATTAAAAGCATTTTAATGCATACAATAGCATGATCATTATCGTCTTTACCATATTACCCTAAATTCGAACAGACCAATTCATCCACCGTCATGTAGCTATGTGGAACCCCTGTATATTTGCAGGAGTACGTCCGCCAGTTGAGGCACAGCTGAAATTTTTTCTAAGCCTCTCCGGGGCGGTCGGGTAGCCTAGTGGTTAAAGCGTTCGCTCGACACGCCGAAGACCCGGGTTCGATTCCCGACATGGGTATAATGTGTGAAGCTCATTTCTGGTGTCCCCCGCCGTGATATTGCTGGAATATTGCTAAAAGCGGCATAAAACCATACTCACTCACTCACTCACTCTAAGCCTCTCCCGTTTTGGAATTTTCTGATCATGAATAGGTTATACCACAAGTGTCACGTGAGACACTCCGCATGACATTGTCTGCAGTCCCTGATTTATACTGTCGTATGTGATTGCTAATTAGTTTGAGAAGAAATGGCTACCGGGTTGTTTGTTCAATATATTTACTTTCAATTTAGGCTGTCAAACTTCCAAAGTAGACCTACTTCTTGGAACTAGTTACTTCGTCTACAACTTGTTACCTCGTATAAAACTACTTATCCAAATCAGTAATGAGAAACAGGTTTCTGAAATGGGCTGCTGCGGTATCCGAGACGCGAGTGTGCGTATGCTCATTCTGTAACAGCTACGTTTCTAATGCTATACGTTGTTCCTTATATTAACCCAGCTCGCATTTTTGTAATTTTAGAACAAAGTCAATGGATCTTCTCCAGTTCCTTTAAACGGATTGTGTCTTCTCGGTCGCCTGTCTTACAAATATATATCAAATACAGCCCATGCAAGTCTATAATGTTTGGCAAGTCTAGATCACTGCAGTATCATGAAAATGAAGAGATTCACTGGGCTCCTTTTTATTATATTTTTATTAAGATAACTGAACAACTGTTTTTTTCTCTACGATACATTCATTTCAGAGACTAGGTGTTAGTCTATCTTCTCGGTAGACAGTAAACAATTTGTTGACGTCACCTCTTTGTGACCTCAGCGGAAGTGATTACCAGTTGACATGCGGTATTGAGTGTACATGATAAGGGAAGCACGTCGTTCACCCCGATATTACGCTACAGGCTTGTCTACCGTCACTGGGGTTATGAAAAACTCGCCTGTTATCAATATGTACCAGGGCAGGCCACGCCACGCGGTTTTATGGACAAACATGTTACCAAACGGTTATACAGATTGCATCGGGGTTATAAAAGAAGATTATCTGGTCTCGTAACCGCCGTGTGCTAACCTTTTGCGGCCTGGTGAAAAAAGTCGATGAGACGTTTATGAAGTTGTCTGTCTCCGAGCCAGGACGCTGAGTCTGCAGATAGACCTGCAGACCATCGACAGATTGTCACATGGGGGTGATCAGTCATCTTTCAGACGCACACTGCGTCATCTGCATGGAGATAGCAGAGAGCAGATTTATGTCAACGCTGCATTGGAGGGAAAGGAAAAATGAAATAAACAGTTTTGCTCCAAGGACGTACTTAAAAAAACCCTGGGGGCACGGGTAGCCCAGTCGTCTGAGGTGCCGCGATTCGCTGTGCAGAGTTGCGTCCCTTGGGCACGCCAGAAACCTATGATTGTGGGTTCGAATCCCGGTTCGCCCCGATTATGTTTCTAGGTTTGTCAGCACCATACCCGTGCTCGTGGGTTTCACCGAAGTGGTAAACGTCCAAGACCTGCATCACTTCGGGCTTTCCTCCCACATTAAGCTGACACGCCACGATATAAGTTGATGAGTTCGACTGCCAAATTCTCCTTGATTACCATCCATAGTTTGTCAGCGGCCGATTTAAATAAAATTGTTTAGGTCTTCCATATGCGTCACTTCCGGATTCCCCCATATGTTCAGCAAACACAGCAGGCTATAAATACAGTACTGTTCAAAGCCAGCTGGACCGCCTCCGTGGTCTAGTGGTAGAGCGTCCGCCCGGAGAGCGAAAGGTCCTGAGTTCGATCCCCGGCCGCGTCATACCAAAAGACGTTAAAAGATGGTACTTGTTACCCTGTCTGGCGCTTGGCATTTAGGGGCTAAAGCAAGGACTGGTCGGTTCGGAGTCAGTATACTGTGTCTGAGTGGGGTATTCATGTTAAACTGCGGCATGGTATCTCAGTGAGCTAGCACTATAAATCGGCTCAGTCCGGTCTAGTACAAGCAGCCACACACACACACACACGTGCATGCACGTCGCTATATAAGTGCAATAATCTTGGACGCGACGTTAAACCCCATCTCACCTCACCTCAAAGCCAGCTGAAGTGAACTCACTCACTCATTTACGACGTTCACTGAGTAAGGAAATGAAGATTTCATCCTTCCGCAAGCTCCACTGTAACATTACCTTGTCCAGTAACCGGCTCCACGAAATGAAACAGTTTGGGAAACAATTCTCAACCTTAACAGTTTCACACAAATGGAATGCCACGCAAGGCTGGAAGTTAATGCAATCCGCCTTTCTCCTCGTTGCGCATGCGAACTGGCGTGTATAAGGTTTGGCTCAATGGAGACAGACTTGGCTTGTGGAAGTAATCTGAAGATTGAAGTTAGTTGGTTCAGCCTCGTTTTATAAAAATTGTTATTTTAATGGGAATTGCAGAGAGCGTCGTGAGAGGCAATTAATAGTTTGTATCGAAAACAAGTTCATGCCCGTTTACAGTGATTAAACTCTTGTGAAATTATGTCTCGTGGTTTTAAAAAATGGTATGACAGCCTGTGACGTTCATGCAAGAAGTAACAACTCTGTGTACATAACGACAGGAGCATCTGGGCAACCGACATGGTTGTCCTCAAGGGTCTAAACAATATCTTTTCTGAAAACGTGACACCAGGATTGTTGTTGTTGGTACACGTTGGATGCGGGTGGCCCACTTGTTATAGTCGCCATATCTGTCAGTGAACAGTTACGACCCTTTACCATGTACGAATCCGATGATCGTGGGTTCGAATTCTGTTTTATGATTATTTGGTTGTCTCAGCACTCGTTGGTTTCACTAATGTGGTCAACTTCAGTGAGAGGGAGAGGGTGGGGGGTGGGTGCAGAAAGAGGGGAGGGAAGGAAAGAGAGACGGGAAGGGAGGGGAGAGAGACAGGGGGGGGAGAAAGAGAGAGAGACGAGGAGAGAGGGAGGGGAAGAGAGACAGAGGGAGGGGAGAGAGACAGGGAGGGAGAAAGAGAGAGAGACAGGGAGGGAGAAAGAGAGACAGAGAGGGAGGGGAGAGAGAGAGACAGGGAGGGAGGGGAAGAGAGACAGAGAGGGAGGGGAGAGAGACAGGGAGGGAGAAAGAGAGAGAGACAGGGAGGGAGAAAGAGAGAGAGACAGGGAGGGAGGGGAAGAGAGACAGAGAGGGAGGGGAGAGAGACAGGGAGGGAGAAAGAGAGAGAGACAGGGAGGGAGGGGAAGAGAGACAGAGGGAGGGAGGGGAAGAGAGACAGAGGGAGGGAGAGAGGCGCACGCACACTTGACTTGACAAGCCTGCGTGGTTTGTAGTTCACTCATACGTGTAACATGTAACCTAATTGTTTTCCATATATCTCTCATTCTGCGTCTCATGTGGAAACAAATGAATTATTATTATATCTCCCATTTTAGATGAATTGAAGCGTAGTAAACGTATTTGTTTCAGAGCATTTTGCTAAACAAATGTGTTTGTTTCAGGACATACCTACTCCTGGGGTCTCAGCCGACCTGACCTCTTGACCCAGTGCTACCAGGGCGGGTCTCCAGTGAAGGGCTACCTTGGGCCAATTGACCCAACCAAGAACTCGACCTACAAGTTCCTGAGAACCCTCTTTGCCGAAGTCTTGGACACGTTCAAGGACCAGTACATCCATCTGGGCGGAGACGAGGTTCCACTTGGGTGTTGGTGAGTAGACGAACTTCTTGAATCTGTACCAAAAAAGCATCTCATTGCTGACATTCTCTAATGGAAAATGAATAATAGATTTTGGTGAAGATCAGACTGTCTGAGATTATTTCTTTTCCTGGGTGTATTCTGGTGCACATTTGTAAATTGTCACATGTAAGAGACAACGAGACCCACGTCGTGATCTCAATGAATACATGGATGAACGGTCCCGTGAAGATTCCGGGGTAGAATAGGTCTTCAGCAACCCATGCTTGTCATAAGAGGCGACTATGCTTGTCGTAAGAGGGGACTAACGGGATCGAGTGGTCAAGCTCGCTGACTTGGTGACATGTCATCGTATCCAAATTGCGTAGATTGATTCTCATGATGTCAGTCACTGGATTGTCTGGTCCAGACCGCTGTCATACAGCTGGAATGCGGCGTTAAACAACCAACAATACATTGATGAACGATTGGAATTATCCAAGGTATTGAAGGGGTGGGTGGCGCTTTCTTCTAACATGTGCACGTGCGTCAGTCTCGTGCAAAGGCAAAACTTGTGGTTTCATTCACTTTCATACTCTCAATCATTGAACCTGAAAGAAATCAAAGTTGTTTCCCTCAACAACCTGAAAATTTTCGCTCAAACGATGAGATGTAGACAGAACGAAAACTATTCCTAGCTCAGTCTGTATTCCAAGCAGTGTGTGGCCTCGTTCCCACGTAGCCCCGATAGAAAAAGGAACATTCCTGTCACGTTTCTTAAACGTGCCAAATGAAACACAGATCATATTCAATCCATGTTTCTCATAAAATCATTATGATTAAGAGTTTACTGTTATTTATATTGCTACCACCGATGCGACGTTTACCGAGAAAGAATTTACCAACTATTTAAGAAATACCGTACATGATTTCAACATTACAACGAAAGAAAAAATAGAAAGTAATATAAGTGATCTCAACAATTTCCCTCAAACCAAAACGACCCAAGTGACATCAATGGTAGGGCCCCAAAAATATACACTCACAGTAAACTATGTTTATAACGAACACGCTTATAACGAACTGACGGATATAATTTATTTTTGGTCTTGACCATTTGCTGTTTATATGCTGTACATATAATTATAACGAGCTACGGTTGTAACTAAAATAAGTGATCCCTTTGGGTTCGCTATAACTGTAGTTTACTGTAGTTGAAAGTCGCCGTGATATGACTGGAGACTGTTAAAACCGTCGTTACATTTGACACATTCACTCTCCAAATTTAAAATGGCTGCAAGATTGCTGATGCGGCGTTAAACATTATTTACTTTCACCCATTCACCCCCATAACTGTACCTAAAATAGCTCCAACTCAGCGCTAGAAGATGAACTATGGCTGACTTTAACGAGTCAGAGGCAGAACCCTTCTCCCACCCCGTTCTCACGTCTCGCCATGATGACCAGCAGTGGTCGATTGAAAGGGTCTAGTCTTCCACTGGCACCGTCACAAAGATCAGGCCGATATCTCCACCGTAACACGCCGCTCCATCTCTTCCCCATTAGCTCCGAGTTATTACCATACGCTGCGAAATCACAGAAGATTCTCTATTCGATCATGATCCTATTGATCGTACATTAGGCTTCAGCGATTTTCATCTCATAACCAGCCCTGCCAAGGATTATGAGGAACTGCTACGTTCGGGGGGGTTGTTCTTAAACAAAACCACCTCCCAAGACGGGGCTATTGCAAGACGCTATTGCCTCGTCAGCAATAGCCACAGCTCGTGTCTTGGTGCCGTTCTGACTTTTTGCTATGAAAGCCAGAATATCGAATATTCCCAGATGAGCGTGAAACTTGTTCCTGGAATTACATGGTGAAACGGGTTGTAAAAGGTGGACCGCTATCATTGAATTGAAGAGGTCAGCTTTCTATCATCCTCTGTTATCCTGTGTTTCTTATCTCCATTCTGTTATGACGTAGTTCGCTTTGAGTCTGGCACAGATGCCACGACGCTAATGTAGCCGATTAGATTTTATTAAAAGGTACATTGTACTGTGGTGGCACGTGTTCCTGTAGGCATCCTGCAGGTCATAGTGAGTGAGTGAGTGAGTGAGTGAGTATGGTTTTACGCCGCTTTTAGCAATATTCCAGCAATATCACGGCGGGGGACACCAGAAATGGGCTTCACACATTGTACCCATGTCGGGAATCGAACCCGGGTCTTCGGCCTGATGTGCGAACGCTTTAACCACAAGGCTACCCGACCGCCCCGTGCAGGTCATAAATCAGGTGAAGTTAAGCAACGTTGGTCGCGGAGAGTACCATGGGAATTATACTTCCAAGGGAGCTGAGAATGAAAATCGAGTGCACACTGATCCATTGACCAGGGTCATAGTAATATAAAGTGTGAACTCGGCTATAAGTTATTTTTTATTTTTTTAATATATTTTAAAAAAAAAAAAAATTCTTTTTTGTTTCGTTTTATTTTATTTTAATCCGTACATCTTCTCGTTTCTGTTCTGTCTTGATTGCCGAGGTTTCATCGTGAGGGGACCCTGTAATGGTGATCCACCCCCTTGCTCTTTGGTACCGCCAAAGCTGAATATGCCTACTCCTGTCTTTCACCCCGTGGATGTCCATAGTTAGAGACCGCCTCCGTGGTCTTGTGGTAGAGCGTCCGCCCGGAGAGCGGAAGGTCCAGGGTTCGATCCCGGGCCGCGTCATACAAAAAGACGTTAAAAGATGGTACTTGTTGTTATCCTGTCTGGCGCTGGGCATTAAGGGGCTAAAACAAGGACTGGTCGGCTCGGAGTCAATATACTGTGTCTGAGTGGGGTATTCATGTTAAACTGCGGCATGGTATCTCATAAATCGGCATCAGTCCGGACTAGTACAAGCAGCCACACACACACATACACGTGCATGCACGTCGCTATATAAGTGCAATAATCTTGGACGCGACGTTAAACCCAATTTCACCTCACCTCATAGTTAGAATAAGTCCCCAGCAAACTGTGCTGGTCGTAAGAGGTGACTTAATACATCGGGTGGACAGACTCGGTGACTTGGTTAATAACGTGTCATCGTCACAACGCATGGGTCGTTGGTCACAATATCAATCACTGGATTGTCTGGTCCGTCCTAAACGGGCCGTCGCCATGTAGCTGGAATATTGCTGAATGCGGCGTCAAACAACAAACAACCAAACTTGTCTTTCATCCCACATTACACTGAACCACCTGCTACTACTGAGAAACTGTTCCAATCAGTGTTACATTCAGCTTGCTCACTCCAAAACAGAAACAACCTCTCTCTTTCAGTTTCAAATCTGAACTTCGACTTTGGTTTTTCAAATTGTCTAGCAATCACGAGAAGAGCTTTGAAGCGCTTTAAATACACTGCAATGGAGATGGCGCCGTGCTTTCTGTATGTTTTAGTTCCTGGTGTCTGTAGCGGGGTCGGTTAATTTGTAGACCTGAATATTTCATGGAGAAGTAATCAAATTGATCACTGGGGCTTCTCTGATTATTTTTCGAGTGGCAACCAGCTGTCACTCTTTATAAAGAAGAATCAAGTGTTAGATATTTTGAACAACGGCTTTGCTAGGTCACTGGAATCGTCAACATATCTTCACAAATAAAACACTCATATTTATCAACAATCTAGTATCTAGTATAAATGATAGGCACTGTTATAGGCAACAACCACCACACCACACGAGGAGCTTAATGGACGTAATTGAAATAGTTCGTGGTTGAACTTGGCTTTAAACAATATCGACTTGAAAATTCTTAACTGATTTCGCTCGTGTTAGCTATCGTTTCTAAAAGGTAATATAATTTGACACTGAAGTCCCTTGATGGAGGATTCTAATGGGAGCCGCGTCGATAGAACGGTGCCTCACTACAGCAGAAAAACAGTAATTGTATTTTTTTGACCTGTTGACCTGTTTCCAGCGGCAGTCTATCAACAACAACAACAACAATAAACAAGCCATTAAAACTCCATTAACCTTGACGTTCAGTGAGGAAATATGGCTGCATCTGTTATGTCTGCATATGTGGAATATGCATGTTTGCTGTTGTGCAGGACTTGTTGACTGCAGAAAGTGTTGGTGCATGTCGCACCTTGTAGTGAACGATGCAGCCGGAGGCGAAAACATTTATATACAACCAGGCGTGGGAATCTAATAAATCTGATCAATTAGTTGGAAACCTATTTTCGCTTTAGAATGCGCTACCAGCCAGACTGTTTCATTGTCTGGTTAGAAACGGCTACACCATTAAAACATATTTGACATTTAATCAATATCTGCGTTATGTAATCGCATGTAAAAATTTATTTACAACTAGGCGTGGGAATCTAATGAATCTGATCAATTAGTAGGAAACTTGTAAGTTTAAAGGCGGCTCTTGCCATTAAGCGTTACCAAGCCAGACTGTTTCATTGTCTGGTTAGAGACGCCTACACAATTCAAACTGACTTGAAATTCAATCAATATCTGTGTTATGTAATTGAATGTAAAAATTTGCGAATTTGTTTTGTGATGGGTTCCTTTGATCCTTATTTGTTGTATAATATACAGCAAAGGAAAACTCCAGGAAGACGGAATTGTCATCCATAAGCCTGTAATAATCAAATTACATTGCCAGACTTTCTTTTGCTCAGAGAATATTGAGGTATTAACTGCAAAAACAGAAACGTCGATGGAATGTGTGGGCCAGATACGTGAAGTTATGACCTTTCAGTCGAATTGCTGTTTGCTTCTCTTGTTAGTCTTGCTTAGTCTTGTGTTGAATGGGGATGAATGATGCGGCAGCCTGGAAGTGTTGAATCTTGACGTGATGAAGTGTTGAATTTACGCGGCGGATTTATGTATGTAAACTATCAAACACGACATGCTTGTCTTACTCGAGACCAGGCGTAAGTTCAACAGTAGGATTCTCATTGATATAACTCTTCTGATAAGTATATGCATCAACGGTATAGAAATTCCGACGACCTATACGTGTGTGGACAACATTCCTCTGTACCCGTGAAGACCCGGGTTAGAATAGGTCTTCAGTAACCCATGCTTGCCGTCAAAGGCGACTATGCTTTTCGTAAGAGGCGACTAACGGGATCGGGTGGTCAGGCTCGCTGACTTGGTTGATGCATGTCATCGTATCTCAATTGTGTGGATCTATGCTCATGATGTCAATCACTGGATTGTATAGTCCGGGCTCGTTTATTTACAGACCGCCGTCATGTAGGTGAAATATTGCTGAGTGCGGTGTTTAACATCAAACAAACAAACAAATTCTTCTTTACTAAATGTATGGGGCCCAGCCCTCGGCGCCGCAATTCGCTGTGCAGAGTTGCGTGCCTTTGGCATGCGGGAAACCTATGGTGGTTGGTTCAAAACCTAGATTCGTCCTGATATGTTTCCAGGTTTGTCAGCACCAAACCCGTGTTCGTTTGTTTCACCGAAGTTTAAGACCTGCGTCACTTTCCGCTCACATGAGACCCGTGAAGATTCCGGGGTAGAATAGGTCTTCAGCAACCCATGCTTGCCGTAAAGGGTGACTATGCTTGTCATAAAAGGCGACTAACGGGATCGGGTGGTCAGGCTTGCTGACTTGGTTGATGCATGTCATCGATCCCAATTGCGTTGATCGATGCTCATGATATTAATCACTGGATTGTCTGGTCCAGACTCGATTATTTACAGACCGCCGTCATATAGCTGGAAAATTGCTGAGTGCGGCGTGAAACAACAAACCAACCAACCAACCAAACGCTCACATGAAGGTTAAACACAGTGACAAAACAGAAATTCTGTTCGACCCAAACTCAATCACTGGATTGTCTGGTCCAGACTCGATTATTTACAGACCGCCGTCATATGGCTGGAATATTGCTGAGTGCGACGTTAAACAAACAAACAAACAATCCAAACTCAGCAAATTACTCTTCGGAAAATGTAGGCAACACGTGAAGTTTGACTATATCATTCCCTGAATTACCCCGTTAATGGTTGATGCGTAGTGATGGTGAAAGGAGGGGTTGTAAATTACCTCAGACCCGTAGCTTGGAATGTACATTCTAGACAGGAGAGTTAGTTTATTACATTAATTTTCGAAATATTCTGATTGGTATGTGTGCTGTTTGGCCGTGTACATCAATTGGCCTATACAAAAAACATCGAGGCATCAGAACTACGCGAAAATCAATGTGTAGGTTGAAAAGCCGATCTTTGCGTGATACTCAATGTATACACCTTTCAAGCCAATCCAAAAAACGAAAATACACTTGAATGATTTGACGATGCATGTATTTCACTCACCCATAAGGCACGCACACACACACACACACACACACACACCACACTCACACACCACACTCACACACCACACTCACACCACCCTACCCACCTACCTACCCACCAACCCACCAACCCCCTGACTCTTCACATTATACGGAGGGGACACGGGTGGCCCAGTCGTCTGAGGCGCCGCGATTCGCTGTGCAGAGTTGCGCCAGAAACCTATGATTGTGGGTTCGTATCCCGGATCGCCCCGATTATGTTTCTAGGTTTGTCAGCACCATACCCGTGCTTGTCGGTTTCACCGAAGTGGCAAACGTCTGAGATCTGCATCACTTCGGGCTTTCCCCCGACATTAAGCTGACACGCCGCGATATAACTGGAATACTGTTAAAAGCGGCGTTTAACCCAACTCATTCACTCACTCACTATACGGAGCATGGTCATTTAGAACAGTTCCAACAAAAAAAACAGTACAACAATACAAAATTATACAACGGTCATATTCAACCATACAATTGGAAACAATGCATCAAGAACACAGTACAACAGAACCTAGATGTAACAGTACAATAACACTGTCAAAACAGCTATTTCAGTGGTATCCAATCGTTCCAGGCAATCCAACCCCGACGTTGTCAACTTCGGGATGGAGTTGTCGAAGCAGCAGCCGGAGGGTTCGCAGTCGACCTACAACGGATACTACTCCAGTCAGTTCGACGTCAGGAAGGTCTACGAGTACTACGAGAACCGGATCATGAAGGACCTTCGCGAGATCGGCAAACATCGCAAAGATGGCGTCAAGTTTGTCATGTGGCAGGAAGTCATGAACAACGACCTACAGGTAAGTGTTAGGGGTGGTATCAGCACTTAACTGTACATTAAATCATCCTTGAACGTTGATTCAAGTTACCCGGGATTGACTACGGAGTAACCGGAAGTGGGCGTGGTTACATGGACATAATACTGCTCTTGGTTCCAGTCTGGTATTGGGGTTTTGGGGGGCATGGGTGCTTACAACCTATGATTGTTGGTCCGAATGGATGTTTCCAGGCCTGTAAGCACCATGCCGTGCTCGTGGGTTTCACCAAAGTGATAAACGTCTGAGACACGCGCCACTTTCCCCACAGATCAAGCTGACATATTGTCATAAAACTGAAATAATGTTGAAAGCAGCATTAAACTTAGTGTCTTGAAACATACCATGACGATCATTTCAAGAGGTGTATGAGTAGTTGTTTGTCAACTACCTCACACACTTACAACAGACATAGATTAGCTACGCATCTTATCGGGTGAAAAAAATGACCCGTTACCATGCAACCAGTTTTTTTTATGGTTTCCCAGACTACGTGTGTTGAATCTTGGAGTCAGTCGTTATAATTTTAGTTTATTGACTTTATTTTATGGCTTTCAAAGCGAAGCTCCAGGGGAGGACCCGGTTGAATATGTCCCCAGTACTACTGATTTTGTGAGGCGACTTAATTGTATCGTTGATGCTGCAAGATTCATCGTATCCCAAACGCGCAAACACACGCACATAAATTCACATGCATGCACACACACGGACATAATTTACATGCACGCACACACACACACGCACACACACACACGCACGCACACACACACACACACACACACACACACACACACACACACACACACACACACACACACACACACACACATGCTCACATTGTAATGCTTGGAACATAGGACACAAAGATATTTGGGCAGTTTATAGTATGACGTCGCATTGCATTTACCTTAAATGAATAATGGGTGAAATGCTATCTTTCAGCTTCCCAATGACACCATCATTGAAGTTTGGATGGGCGACATGGCCGACGTAAACCGCGCCATCTCTATGGGCTACCAGGTTGTGTACGCCACGTGTTGGTACCTCGACCACGTGGAATACGGCACCAAGTGGCCAAAATACTACCAGTGTGACCCCGCTGACAACACGTTCGGTGAGTTTGTTAACCATCATTCAGGGATCTTTGTCATTAATAACTGTATAAGTTTGAATATAGACGATAAATGATAATAGATACGACAAAGCCCTTTCCACAATGATAAGACATCTGTGGTAAAAGTCCATTGTACGATGCCAACTATAACATAAGCATGACTTTGTGAATATGAATCACTATGAATATGAATCACTATGGAATATTGATACCAAACGGTGAGCGTATAATGCCCCACTACAAACACATGCAAAGGTAAGTCAAATGTTCACCTGAGCAAACACGGGAACAGATTTTACAAGTCAAATTATGGAATTCCATTATTATTCTGGTTACTGATGCGTCATATTTGGAAATGTCCTTCACATGTCTACCATACAACTTGACCTTATACTTAGCATTAACATGTTACTGTTGTATTATATATTGAAAGATAAATGCTTCATGATACGTGATTTTGAATAAACAGCGTTAATCCATTCCCTTCACCTCATCCGTCACAGCCAAAACTTTTAACTCTGATGTGCGAACAAAGCTTCACGACAAGGCACCATATAAGCTACCCTATTAACTAAAGAAGCCATTCATATATTCACATTTCGTATCATTCATACTTTTTCTATCATAACTGCTGCCCCCTTACACGCCATAACACGGGATCAAATATGACACTATTGATATCATTGACACTGCTTTCTATGTCTTCGTATTCTGGGAATAACATTAGGCTTGTGAGATGGCCTATCTGTTCTTGCTGTAGTCGAGATGGGGCGCCATCGAGGTGATATTGCAATACATTAGCGGTATTATATTTCTCGCGTTTGTCGGAGACGCTGGATTAGTACGTGAGGGAATTTAGTTACTCTTATAACTCTTGACATTTACAACAAATTAGGGGCAGTCGGGTAGCCTAGTGGTTAATGCGTTCGCTCGTCACAGCGAAGACCCGGGTTCGATTCCTAACATGGGTGCAATGTGTGAAGACCATTTCTGGTGTCCCCCCGTAATATTGCTGGAATATTTCTAAAAGAGGCGTAAAACTATACTCACTCACCCTACTACAAATTAATATCAATGGACGTCTTTAGAATATCTCCCTGTGGTTTCGTAAAATTGTATCCATAACAAGAAACGCCAAGAAGGGTCAATACTTCTCCAGCCACAACAACCTTCTCCATCTATTTTTCCTGCAACATTTGTAGAATGAGAACACATTCCGTTTAATTATCCAAGCAACCACGGCAACAGCCTCAGTACATATTAGACCTTCCACATTGGTCTATTCTTGGTAACATTCTCCGTACATTAGATCTTCCACATTGGTCCACCCATGGCAACATTCTGCGTACATTAGATCTTCCACATTGGTCCACCCATGACAACATTCTCCGTACATAAGACCTTCCACATTGGTCCACCCATAGCAACATTCTCCGTACATTAGATCTTCCACATTGGTCCACCCATAGCATCATTCTCCGTACATTAGACCTTCCAAATTGGTCCACCCATGACAACATTCTCCGTACATAAGACCTTCCACATTGGTCCACCTATGTCAACATTCTCCGTACATTAGATCTTCCACATTGGTCCACCCATGGCAACATTCTCCGTACATAAGACCTTCCACATTGGCCCACCCATGGCAACATTCTCCGTACATTAGACCTTCCACATTGGTCCATTCTTGACAACATTCTTTGTACATTAAGGTCTTTGTCTATATAATGTTCCCCAATTCCCAGGTTACATGATAGACGAGAAGAAAGTGCTGGGAGGCGAGGCCTGCCTGTGGTCAGAATACATCGACAACGAAAATATGATGACAACATTGTGGTAAGTGTAATAGAAGGAGGCCGTCTCAAAACCAAATATGGTGAAGTTTTCTTTCATTAATAAATTTGATATTCATCCAACTGACGTAAGATTGTGTATATATTTTGGAAAATATATTCTTTTCTAACGCATATAACTGAACATTCTCCCAAATGGTATTTATTGATCACAGAGCGAAACGTTAAAGTTCTTCAGGGAAATCAAGTCTGTCGAGATGCTGATGTTTCATGCCAGGAAATGACGCGATGATGAGAAAGGGAATAGGAAACGCGTAATGCCTTCACTTTGTTCCATCAAATGCGTTTTGTTGATGGCCTGCGGGTCAATACATACTCTCCAACGTGTCTTCATCATTAACTTACACTCCACGGGAATTCGAATGCCCTCACTCACTCAACGATGGGATCCTGTTCACATGCAACTGGCTTTCCAATTTACGAATAATTGGAATATCTGTTTTTAAAAATATAAATGTAATCTGACTCCGAAATTTAATAACACCTTTCTTTCGTCCTCCCAATTTTGGCTGAATTTGAGGAGATTATGGAAAAAAACGGTTTCCTCTGGCATTGAACTGTCAAAGTATGAAATTAATTTGTATTCCTCATCCAAAATATACTCCAGTTTAATGTGCATGATATCAAGAGATTCTTTGCAATTCCCTCAAATCACACTTGAGTTTGATATGTTGCCAGATTCAATTACTTCTTTGAGTTTCGGGCTTGACGGGTGTATTTGCCTATTGAATTACCATGGACATTTATTGAGCACTTCTTCAACAGTTTCTGCCATGTTGTATCATATTGAAGAAATAGCAATTGACGCAGTTCCTGTAGAGATGCGCTCTGAGATTGCCCATGATTTTGCTCCACAGAATGACATGTGTGAGTGTTATTGTTTATCGATGTTTCCACAGCATACGTCAGGGACTGCCTGTCAAGCGAATGTCAAACGATATTCGATTTTATCCATTTCTCGGACACCTTTAATGCCACAGGTGCCGTTTTTTTAGTTCAGAAGAAATTGCTCATCTGTTTCATTTTAGTCCCCAGAAAACGTGGGTATTCGTTTTGTTAAATGAATTGAATTGAAAGTAAATTGAAAATCGCAATTTCAGGCCAAGGGCTTCAGCTGTGGCAGAGAGATTATGGAGCGCGAAAGATGTACGGGATCTGGACACAGCGGGAGCAAGACTGAGTGAACACCGGTGTCGAATGCTCAAGTAAGTTCTGAGCATGAACTTTTTTCGCAGGTCCCAGAGTTGTGTCTCCTGCCTCCTTGGTTATCGTTTTACGTTCTGTTTGAAAATGTTACAAGGTATTATTTGACCACTTTGTGAGTGTTTCTGTGACACAAGGACGCCAGCGTGACATGCCTGGAATGATGCTGAAAACTCACTCACTCACTTACTCACTCATAGTGCTCGTGGGTTTCTCCAAAGTGGTAAACGTCCAGGGCCCAGTTCCACAAAGCGATCTTAGCACTTAGTCGATCGTAACTCCCATTCTTTACCACTGACTTACGACAATCATAGCGCTAAGATCGCTTTGTGGAACGGGGCCCTGCACTTCTTCTGGCTTCCCTCCCACATTAAGCTGACACACCGTGATATAACTGGAACACTGTTCAAAGCGGCATTAAATCCAACACACTGTACCTAAAGGTGGTTCTCTAAGTGCAATAGGGGCGGTCAGGCAGCCTAGTGGTTAAAGCGTTCGCTCGTCACGCCGAAGACCCGGGTTCGATTCCCGACATGGGTACAATGTGTGAAGCCCATTTCTGGTGTCCCCCGCCGTGAAATTGCTGAAATATTGCTAAAAGCGGCGTAAAATCAAACCCACTAACTCTCAGTGCTATAGGAACTAGAACAATTCCAACACCTATCCATTGTTCTTTCATCATATTAATTTCGATTTAGTTACAATGTCAGCTTTAGAATACATGATAAATCGAAATATGCCGTTCGTTCAGAACATTGTGTTGGTTGGTTGGTTTGTTGTTTAACGCCGCACTCAGCAATATTTCAGCTATATGACGGCGGTCTGTAAATAATCGAGTCTTGACCAGACAATCCAGTGATTAATATCATGAGCATCGATCCACGCAATTGAGATCGATGACATGCATTAACCATGTCAGCGAGCCTGACCACCCGATCCCGTTAGTCGCCTTTTACGACAAGCATGGTCACCTTTTACAGCAAGAATGGGTTGCTGAAGACCTATTCTACCCCGGAATCTTCACGGGTCTCAGAACATTGTGATACAAATCATCGTATCCCAATGCGCATGATGTCAATCACTGGATTGTCGGGTCCAGACTTGATTACTGACTTGAATATTGTTGAGTCCGGCGTTAGACAACAAACAAACAAACAAAAGCATATTAACGCAAGTATTTTCATGGCATGTCCCTGAACGTGTGAGCACTCTGTTTTCAGTCGCGGACTAAGCGTTGCGCAAATCAGCGGTCCGGATTACTGCCTGAAGCGGGGAATAGGGCGGAGCAGAGACAAGTATCGCACGAACTCCACGTGCACGAGTGGGCGATGCGTCAAGTCACGTGATGGAACGTTCGTAGAGATGGACGACATAGAAGTTCGTCAGCCACACAGGCACATGAAAGTGCCAGAGTGTCCCAAGGTAACGAACCGAATGTTTAATACTGAACCTAGTAACAAAAACAGTTTACAAGATCATCACATTGTGGTCATTATATGCTACTGAAAAGACGTTATAGAGTCCTACTACTATTATTATATATGAAAGAATCGGGTGTTCTTCAAATTCCCTGTGAAATGTTGTAAAAGTTGGGATGACGTTCAGTGGGTTCAGATTGGGTTCGGGGCACGGCTGGCTCGTCTTAGGCGCCGCAATTCGCTGTACGGAGTTGCGTCCCTTGGACACGCCAGAAATCTATGATCGTGGGTTCGAATTCCGGTTTGTTACGATTCAAGGTTTGTCAGCATCATACCCCAGTTCGTGATCTGCATTTTGGGCTTTTCTCCCAAGACAAGCTGACACGCCGTGATATAACTGGAATACTGTTTAAAGCGGCGTTAAACCCAACTCACTCACTCACTCACTCAGACAGGGCTTGACCCAACGCCTGTTGAGAATGACGTTAATTGTAAAAGGCAGCTTCACATTTCGAACCCGATTAGAAAAGTGTCACAGCCACATTGCTCCTTGTGGGGCCCTCCTTGTGAGCGGTGAATACACTATCCCCACAACATATTTCTCCACATCTACGACGGTGCGGTCGGGTAGCCTGGAGGTTAAAGCGTTTGCTCGTCATGATCACGTCGAAGACCAGGGTTCGAATCCCGACATGGGTACAATGTGTGAAGCCCATTTCTGGTGTCCCCCGCCGTGATATTGCTGGAATATTGCTAAAAGCGGCGTAAAACCATACTCACTCACTCACTCAGTCAGTCCACATCTACTTGATAAAAAATGATAAAATACAACAAATATTTCGTCCCTTATCATCAAATACAGACAAATTTGACAAAAGTGCTCTGGTGATGTTTATCCACATTCTGTCTTTTGTGTTTTTCACTTTTTAATCTACATATTCGTATAAATAGACAAATTATGGATTAAAAAAATTGATGGATTCACGTTTTCAGTCACTGGTGGCCTGGTCCTACCCGATTTATAATTTGATATGATATTGCTGGAAAATCGCTGACTCAGAACATTATTCTTACCCTGTTTTAACCACCCTTTCCCTTTTTCAGCAGGTACCCGCCCAAGGGGGTTTGCTGATATTCCTGGGCACCGCCCTGATCATATTGATAGCCGTGGGCGTGGGGGTGAAGTCGACTACTGGCCGTCTGGCCCAGGCCCGGATATGCAAGAACAGAACTATCCTTATTCTATTTATAAGTGTACTCTTAATATATTTCATGTGTTACACGTCAATATGGATGCAAGTGTTTGACTTTTCCGGATCATTTCACAAGAGGCAAGATAGTGACTTGACAAACGATAAGCACTGATGATCTATATGAGTGGTGTCAAGATGTGCACTTTCAGACAGACAATTCGACTGTCGTGTTCTAGATAAGGTGGATGTGCAGGATGGGACGTAATCAAAGTTGATTTGCACATACAGGAAGCTCGTAATTGATATCAATGTGGTGTCATACGAAAGCGGATCTGATGCTTACGTGCACTGTGATGATGATGAGGAGGAGGGGGAGGAGGAGGAGCATAATACAGTGGCGCGTGGATTCGTGCTTGTTTACAAATGGACTTGTGAGAGGCGACGATTCGTTGGAGGAACTTTTAACCAATGGGAAATTAGCCTCGATATCGAGTCACATGATTGTCATGTGATCATTCACAACTTGACTGGACCACGTTATGAACAGGATGATGTTGATTGTGAAGATGGTGATGATGATGATTAAGATGATGATGATACAACCTACATTTTCAAGCTGTAATTTGTAATTTAAATGTGTGAATATTGTAGAAATACCTTTTCATAAAAGGTTAATATTGCTCCAGATTTTCAAAAGGATTATTCTTCTAATGTGATAACGAGTGTTTGAATTGTACATAGACAGCATGCTCTCATGACATGCACGTGCATTCCGTGATATGAATGAGTCTCACGTGCGTGTATCAATCATGTCCGCAGTGTGAGTGAATGTGACGTGCGTCCGCGTGAGTGCTGCACGTGCGAGTCTGACGCCATACATCTTCTCATCGATTGAACTGAAGTGAACTGAAGATGTTTCCATGGTTTAATAGGTAAACCTTTTATTTTTCTATTTGCTTGCTCGGCTATGAAATGTGACTTGTATATTAACAGCGTCGCTCATCATTTTGATCGTTTCCTGTACACAGGTAGCGTTAGTGTTAAAGGGTTGTCCCGACTTGAAGCATACAAGGCAAATGTTGGATGTCTCCTTTTCGACTTGGCATGGTGGTCAAAGCAGTTTCATTAAATCAGGTGTCCATTGAAAATAGACACATGACAGTGTGTCAAGATGTGAATATCTTCAATACTTCATAAATGAAAAAATCGTTCGTAGGAAATTAAACGAGAAAGTGCTTATCTAAGGGAGGTAACTCCACTTAACGTTAGCGTTCGCTGATGTTGGTATTAGCAGGTGACTCTTTTCAAAACCAACCCAGTTTGCAAGTGCTAAATTCACTGTAATGTACATACAGGGCTTTATTTATACATGTTTGTTTTAGAGCGGTTAGTAGTGTGAAGTTTTATGAATGAAAACTGATGAGGCATTTTAAAGTTTTAATGAAGTCGAATTTAACTATGCAAGTGGAAGAAACTTACACATGAAGACAGTGCCAGCATTTTGTATCTGTGGAAACCCAAATTCCAGGATTCTTGTCATGTTTACCGGATTGTGATTCGGGTTTAATGTCTGTTGTAGAGTCGTTTTTGTTCGTTGCCATGCCAACGCCGCATTCAAAAGTTCCGGCAATATCAGCAAAACCTTTCATGGTGTTCAAACATTCTAGTTCCTTCTTTTAATTTGAGACACCAAGCAAGTCCCGTTTCATGTGTGAATGTTTGTAGATATTGAAGAACTACGATTTGGATATTTTATTTCGATGTATGATTTATTACAGAAAGTATTTCCCTGTCCAAGAGGCATTGAGTTCAATTTATCAATCAAATTTTATAGTCATCGTCAAACGATTCTTTTTAAATAAATATTTTATGAAGCATCGGAGGAACGTGAACGGGTTGGATTCTGTTTGAAATTTGTTCTGAATTTTCTGGTCGAATGACCTTTATAAGAAAACAAGTTATTAGATTATAGTGTATACTTGATGTTGCTTTGTTCTCAAATCGTGTAGTAACCTTTGAGGAATACTCGCGTGTTGACACACATCTTACAGTCGTATTATTGAGCGTTGTTCTTATCAGACGGAGGGGGTGCGACTTTCTGTGTCAGCTGATAATGATCCTCCTGTTCTGTAATTGTGTACTGCACCTGACGGTCAAAGTGTCCGGCCCTCAACTTTCTTTCGTTCACTCTCTCACACTCTGAATCATTGTTTCACCATCAATTGGCTACAGACCATTACTGAATGTATAAATGTAGTCTTTAAATATATGAACCACGTTATATAACTCAATTTTCACATGACACTTGCTGACGATGTTTAGGCTATTTCATAGGAATGATTCCTGATAACCATGACAGATGAAATGTGATCACAAGCTTGCTTGTTAATTACGTTTTTTGTTTGCTGTTGGCGTCAATGTTATCAATGCTGTATTATTATAAGAGAGTGAGTTACATCTTACACCGCTTTTAGCAATATTCCAGCAATATCGCGGCTTCCAGCAATATCGCGGCTGGGATCACCAGAAATGGGTTTCACGCATTGTACCCATTGGGGAATCGAACCCGGGACTTTGGCGTGACTAGCGAACGCTTTAACCACTTGGCTACCCCACCGCCGATATTATTATGAACACATCGGCGCAATAGCCAGTGCGTGATTCTTAGGTAATGTTATATGTACCGGAAATCTGTACTTTACTTGGTGTGTAAGGGAACCAATCCCAACCAGAGGGATCTTAGTATTACTTCTGCCGCGATTAAAATATCTGTGCGCTGGGACTTTGTCGTTACTATGTAACCACAGCATGATTTGATTGATAAACTGGTACAGCTGTTGTAATGCGCGGTCGCATAGGTGTCAGTAGACGGGAGCCCAGTATAAACGGTGATCCGTTCTTCACCCTCTTTTTAGAAACTGATTGACTGTGTTCATTATTTGGAATGTATATACTTGTAATATATAAGGAATCCGATATATGAACATTTTCTTGCATTGGGAGACTGTATGATTTATTTAGATGTGTGTCTGTATGTTCGTATGTATAATCAATGATTGCATTGTTTCGCCGATCATTTACCGACATAATAATTTGTGAAATTAGTGTAATATCTTATTCTTAAAATGTAAGAACATCAGAAGGAGCTTTTTTAACAAAGCTCATTCTCAGTGTATATAGGTCACTCAACCTATTATGGTTGCCGCCATCTTGCTTAACGTAGATCTATCAAATAGCAGTGGGAAATCTCCGACATTTCACGAAGGCACCCGAGTTGAGAAGTCATTTTGCCTTCCTTCAGTGTCAAGAGGGTCTTTCTCAGTCATTCAAACATTCTTTCGTGGACATACCTGTAAGCCTACCAGTAGAAAAATACTCTTACCATAACTTGTACTCGTCCGGCAAGGTGATCCCTTAAGACACCAATCGATTTTTCTCCTACTCCGAAATGACTCCGAACTATTTAAAAAAGTTCACATTCGTCACCACTCGCGCCTTTCCGTAACCTGCAATTAGTCATTCGTCTTGTTCCGGGATGACGCGAGGGATCACGAATGTTGGATACAGTTTTAGAAGATGTTTTGTGTGTTCTTTTCAGAAAGTGGACTAAAACAAGATTCAATGCCAAATATGGAAATTAATATGTCATAATATTTTCTAATTGTTTGCATTTAGGCTCCGGTGTGTCGAAAACATCGGTACCGTACGGGTTTCTACATTTTTTTTCTATTTATCTGCTGTGTATCTGATCATACCGTTAGTTATTTAACTATGTCTGTCTTTAGTGGCTGGTGCCTTCTAGCTTTCTGTAGGCACCTGTGGTCGCTCTTTGCTTCATTCAGCGAGACTGGCATTTCACAACTTCACGAGTCCATACGAATTCTCTCTGCATTTTACATATATCTTGTTTTATTCAGTTTCAAAATCATGAATAAAATGTCTCAACCATTATTCGTGTAGTGCTATCTGTTGACACTTATTTTCACCGTACGAAGATCAGGGGCGTCTGTACTATTAGTTTGGATTCTTGGAAATGAAACGTCAGTATTTTACGTCTCGATTATCCCACGAGACAGATTCCACAGGGCGCAATACGCATAACAGCGGTGAACCATATAAGGGAAATATTACGAACATCGCAGGCATACGTCATATGTTGGAAATATTACGAACATCGCAGGCATACGTCATATGTTGGAAATGTTACAAACATCGCAGGCATACGTCATATGTTGGAAATGTTACGGACATCGCAGGCATACGTCATATGTTGGAAATGTTACGAACATCGCAGGCATACGTCATATGTTGGAAATGTTACAAACATCGCAGGCATACGTCATATGTTGGAAATATTACGAACATCGCAGGCATACGTCATATGTTGGAAATGTTACGGACATCGCAGGCATACGTCATATGTTGGAAATGTTACGAACATCGCAGGCATACGTCATATGTTGGAAATGTTACAAACATCGCAGGCATACGTCATATGTTGGAAATATTACGAACATCGCAGGCATACGTCATATGTTGGAAATGTTACGAACATCGCAGGCATACGTCATATGTTGGAAATATTACGAACATCGCAGGCATACGTCATATGTTGGAAATGTTACAAACATCGCAGGCATACGTCATATGTTGGAAATGTTACGAACATCGCAGGCATACGTCTGATATTTTGGAAATGTTACAAACATCGCAGGCATACGTCATATGTTGGAAATGTTACAAACATCGCAGGCATACGTCATATTCAACACATTACATATATCGTAGGCACACGTCCTATGCAGCAAATATTACGTCATATATAAGAAATATTACATCGTAGGCATACGTCATATATAGAAAATATTACGTACATCGCAGGCATACGTCATCTACAACAAATAATACGTATATTGCAGGCATACGAGTGGGCAATTATGTTCCACGTAGCGGGTACAAATCTCATGTTGCCCGCTGAGAAATTATGCGGAACATATCTCCGATAACTTGCTAATGAACCGATGTGTATTCGAATGCATTAATCAAAGGGAAGTAACTCGGGTCGTCTGCGTCGTCTGAGCTTTGCTGACTTGGTGAAACTGCGGACATACATTCCGGACCCGTGTGAATGTCGGTAAGATAAATTCTTGAAGTTTAAACGGAATACCTCAGTAATGAACACATTCGTCTAGGAGGGCATGGGTGGCCCAGCCGCCCTCATTTATTCTGCAGAGATATATTTCCCAAAGGGGCACCCAGAAACCTATGAGTGTGGGTTCGAATCCCAGATTCGCGCTGATTGTTGTTCTAGATTTGTCAGCACCATACCCGTGCTCGTGGGTTTCACCGAAGAGGTGAGACTTAGACCTGTATCACTTCGGGCTTTCCTCCCACATTAAGCTGACACGCCGTGATTTGAGTGAGTATGGTTTTACGCCGCTTTTAGCAAAATTCCAGCAATATCACGGCGGGGGACACCAGAAATGGGCTTCACACATTGTACCCATGTCCGGAATCGAACCCAGGTCTTCGGCGTGACGAGCGAACGCTTTAACCACTAGGCTACCCAACCGCCCCTCGCCGTGATGTAACCGAAGTACTGTAAAAAGCGGCGTTAAATCCTGGCAGCTACTTAACAATTCGCCCCTACGATATGGGGTACCATAGCATGATAAGAAATAAAAGGAAACCGCGGCTAAAAAGCTTTAAACAAAGTTGAGACATCACATCTTGGCCACACATCCCCGGATGATGATCGGTCTCGCACAATGTGTGACCTGGCTGATTGTGGGCTTCATTCTGTAAGCCTGGTCTTGAGTTGACTTGATACAGGTCGTAAAACAACATTCACTCGCTCGCTCACTCATAAAACAAAGACACTGATTTCTATAGCTATATTTCAAATTTACATATTGAGTGCAGTTGTTACAAACGGGTAAAGCGTTGTTGGACTACATTGCATTTCTCCCGCAACGTCATTACAAGACAGGCGAGCCTTAAGCTTGTCCGCGGCAGAATAAGCACAGACATAACCCAAGACATCAATCGCGCACTGTGGTTTCAGGGAAATACGATGTGGTGGTGAGAGAAGCGCACATAAAATCCTGCCCTTGTACAACTAATTGCGTCGCTGTTCATGTCTTAAAGGTGACAATAATTATATGTAAAATATACAAAGTAAACAACTGAGGATGAAAATTGATGAGTAGTCCGTCGGTATCCCTACACACGTTCTTTTTAAAAACTTTGAATTAACTTTGGTCATGAACATAGACAGCCAGGGACTGTTTCATGCAACTTGTGCGTGAATTTGAGTTCTCAGTTTCACTAGTACGAGAGAATGCGCAGGGGGTAGCATCTTCACGAGGCAAATGCGTCCACTGGCTTTTTTTATCAAAGTCTTGTTTCTATCCTTGCCACACCGGGTCCACTTTTCTGGGCTAACTATGATTGGACTCTCGCACAAATCGATAGTCAAATAAGAGAACGTTTCACAAAATCAACATCCGAGACTGGTACACCTTCGTATGAAAGTGATTTACCGCTGCCTGTCTTTGTTGACACGTCATTCTCATCGAAGACAACGATTGCCTATGTTTTTTTGTGTCAGGGATGAAGTCGCGAATGATTTCGTTGTCTGATCGACTAGGTCGTTGCTTATGGTAGTCGCCATCTTTGTGAAGCAATACGAGATAAGAACAGCGATCTGATTGGATATCGCGTTTCCATTACAAGGGGCACAACTCGTGAGTCGAGCCAAGAAAAGTGGTCTTGTTGTGGCAAGGGTAGAAACTAGGCTTTGATACAGGCTAGTGGACACGCTTGCCTCCGGAAAACGAGGGGGTAGATACTGACAGGTAAGGTGCCTGAAAGAAGAGTGAGGTACACGTCACTCGGGGTGCACCAGTTGTGTATGTTTAAGTGAACGCGGTAGACGGGACATCCTGACGGAGGGGTTATCAATTGTTCTGGTACTATACATATATTGTAAACTCGTTAATTCGAACTCCATTTTCTCGAAATAACGTTTAGATTAGTGATCACTTCAGAACCACGACAGGGACTATGGTCTTGAATCGGCGCTCCGTTTGTCTCGCACAACGGTTAACTAGAATACTCCACGTGTCAATCATCAGCTAATTAGACGTCTATTCGAATGTCCCCTGGACTTCGAGTTAACGAGCTTTCATTGTATTTGCGTAGCATTGTGGTCGTAGTCATAACCATCAGTCGAAGAGAATTTTGATGCAGAGCCGGACACAGATACCTCGAAACCCCGTTAATCCGGACGGTACCATACACAGAAAGTGTTTCCTTCCTTGTGTAGAAGTTTATATAGATGTTCTCAATAGACAGTGAAAGATTTCACCAGTCTTTGGGCGTGCGACAGTCCACATTCCGGTCGGCGAGATCTTCCACGAGACTGTTGCAAATCACGTGACGCAGGACAAAATGGCCTCCATTCTGTAGCAGCCGCGGGATGGCCCGGCTAGTGACACTGCAAACTGTCTGCACTGTGCTGACTCCTATTCTGTCAGTAACCAGATGGTAATCGGGCGATGTAGACTTCTTTGTACACTTGACGTCATGTCAGCATGAACGTAACAGTAGCCATTTTGTCCATTAGACACGTGATCCTTTGTCACGTGATCACCGAAAGGAGCAGAAAATTCAGTATTTTGAAACCTGTCTAATAGCGTTAGGTTCATTAGGTATCAAACTGTCTGTGCAAAACGTTTGGTTCTTGGGTTATTAAAATATAATTATGAAAAGCTATTTGCTGTCTCTCCTCAAATGACAGTTGTCTCTCGTTTGAATGTATCTAGCGCAGTATATCTGCATGACTCATTCACGAAGTCTTCCAGATCAGGTTGTAACACGCTTTCAACCTTCTATCTCTTTTTGCCATCGTTTCCTACATTCACGTTCTCGAAGTTCGTCACAAGTGGACATTAGTGTACTTCGTGATCTTCCTTTGCTCTACACTTACCACCACGTGGAACAAAGTGGAATTAGTCTTCATACGTGCTATACCCCTATCTGTCACTGTATTCACAGGTGTAGAATTTACCTGCAACCATGATTTACCTCTTCCCACGCTGTATGAACACGTGGACACAATGCTTTATGTAAACCCAACACTGACACCTATACTGTATCAACAAGTGGACACCGAAGCCAGTCGCCTGTCTCTCAGCACTTTGATCATGTCTCTCTCCCGCTTGATCTGGGTTTGAATCTCTGCCAGGTCCTGCTTGTGCTTCCTCTCCAACCATGCATCAAAAGCAGCCGACTTTTCCTCGTTTGCTCTGACCTTCACCTTTCTCACGTTCTCCTTTTCCTTCTCCATCCTCATCTTATTCTCTTCCTCCTTTTTCTTCATCCACACGTCATGAGGAACGCACGCGCTGTTTCGGACATCTCCACGACGTTTGTCCTCCTCTTCCTGTTTGATGCGCTGTCGTTCTCTGCGCGTCCTGTCCACAGTCTCCTGTTTCTCTACCTTGTCCCGCCACTGCGGGTACGACACCTGCCGTGACACCCTCTTCTGCAGCTTCTCCTCCTCGATCTTCTGCAGTTCCGCCATGTTTGCCTCCAGTATCCTCTGCATCAACCTCTTCCGGTCCTCCGTATGCACCATCCATTCGTCATATGACACAGCTCGGGCCAGTAAGCTCTGTCTCTTCTCCTCAACCTTCTTCTTCTCCTCATCCAACCCTGTCCTCTGCTCTTCTTCTCCACCACCGCTCACCCTCTCACGCCATTTCCTATGCGCCGCCATGTTTTCATTATGGTCTAGAGGTACGTCGATGTGGTCAGTAACGGTCACCAGTCCTTTCAGAGGCCGTGTCCGTCTTCTGTACAGATCGGCCACAGTGACCGTCTGTGGTCGGACTATCTGCCGCGCTCGTTGCTCTTTTAGCCAGGTGTTGTAGGCTTGAGAGTTTCCGCCTTCGTTGTCACTGTCAACACTGTCCTCGGAGTCAGACTCACGGCTGTCACGCTTCTCTTGTTTCCTCTTCCGGTTCAGCCATTCGTCAAACGTCTCCTTCGTCTTCTGTTTGTCATCGCCCGCCATTTTCTTCTTAGACTCTGCCATTTGTATTCTTCGCTTCATCGTCCGCCAGGACTCATTCGTCCGAGTTCGTGAAACCAACAGCCTCGTTCTGAAAATTAAAAGGAACAGTATTAATTTACTACTAAAAAAGTAAAGGATCATCCGATTCTTTCACATTACTATGGTTAATCTGTCATGACATGTGTAATAAACATTTAAATATACTACTCAAAAGAAGTTAAGGGTACCCGATTCTTTCTTATGTGTAAAGAAAGCGTCAAAACTCTTTCAATATTCAATAGGAATCTCTGCATAAAACAGAGTCCATTGTACGATTCCGACTATATCATGAGCTTTATGTTTATGAATAACTATCATAATAATAATAATAACTGTTCGCGAAAAGGTGAGCGTATCCTGCCCCACCGGTGGCCTCCGTCACAAACACATGCAAAGGCAAGTCAATTGTTCACCTGAAAAACTACGCCCATTCCATGTACATAACATGTCATACTGCCACCCTGGATATGTCGACGTCGCATACAGCGACACATCGGTTATAACCATCAGGTTGTCGAGCAGGGATAACAAACGGTATTGATCACGTGACCTGCGAGTGAATGTTGCTTTAGTCAGCAATATTGCCGGTAAAGCACAACGGAGTGCAAATAAACACGTCTGGAGCAGACAACTCGCCACTGAAAACATAGGCAACCATAACACTCAAAGTTTTCAAATTAGTCGGAGAATAACGATTAATGATGAGTGTGGTTTTACGCTGCTTTTAACAATATTCCACACACAGCAAGGAGAGGACTCCAGAAATGGGCCTTTCACATTATGCTCATTTGGGATTCGAACCCGAGTCTTCGGTTTAGCGAGCGAATGTTTGGACCACAAGGCTACCCCACTCCTAGTGCCGTATGGCTGTTCTATGTTATACACAGCGAAACCCCCCTTATTCCGAACTGTGTCGTTCCAAGTGAAATGGTTAACATACATAACGTAGTAATGTCACTTCGTTACAGGACCGCCTCCGTGGTCTAGTGGTTGAGCGTCCGCCCGGAGAGCGGAAGGTCCGGGGTTCGATCCCCGGCCGCATCATACCAAAAGACGTTAAAAGATGGTACTTGTTGTTACCCTGTCTGGCGCTCGGCATTTAGGGGCTAAAACAAGGACTGGTCGGCTCGGAGTCAGTATACTGTGTCTGAGTGGGATATTCATGTTAAACTGCGGCATGGTATGTCAGTGAGCTAGCACTATAAATCGGCATCAGTCCGGACTAGTACAAGCAGCCACACAAACACACACACGTACATGCACGTCGCTATATAAGTGCAATAATCTTAGACGCGACGTTAAACCCCATTTCACCCTCACCTCACCTCACTACAATTTATCGTTACTAGCAGTTGTCGCCTGTTAGTCTAAATCCAACTGTTACCAGTTCGGAATAAACACATTCCTGATTAAGGCAGTGGTGGGTATGGAGAATTGTACCGTTGTGTATTACAAGAAACCAAAATTACAGGGTTCGAATCCCGGTTTGACCCGATTATGGGTCTTGGTTTGTCAGCATCATACTCTTTCACTAAAGGTGTGAAGTCTGAAACCCAAATCGAACATTCCTCCGACAAACTCACCCACTCACTGAAACGTACGCTCAGCAGGGAGGCGGTGTTTCCTGACTTAACGACTAACGGGATTTCACTCCTTGACGTCACTTCCGGCAGTCATCTCCTAAGCTACCCTTTGTGTGTTATCAGCAACACATTGAACTGTACTGCACTTACACCACGTTTAAATCACTTCCGGGTACATTCTATTCTATCGATTGTATGATGTCATGAATAATTTTGTTATGGACATGTCAACCAAATGTATACCTTGGTCGTTTGGAGGAATCTTTCCGACTGCTAACCGCACTCTGACTGTCATCCTGCAACTCAGGTGCGCTCTCCACGCTCCGCGCATCCGAATTGTTCCCACCGGAAAAGTCTTGACCCATGCCCGGAGCAGACGCAATGGAAAGCTGACTGCCATGTTCACTTGGGGCACGGGGTGGGGAGGACATATGTATTGTACTCGAATAGCCCCTGCTCACTGACTTTCGCGGAGGAACAGTGGCAAAGTTCTCTCCCTTGTTTTTGAGTATGGACTGTTTTTGAGGAAGCGATCCATGTCTGTTGGGGGTGTGCCGCCCGGGGGTGCGAGGAGTCGAGTCATCCCACGACACACTATATTTAGAACTAGCCGTTCCAATTCTCGGCATCACGTGATTATTGCTGGGGGGTCCTAAACGGTACCTAGAAGCACTAGAACTGCGTCCGTCACGAGTATCGGTATCCCACATGAAATGTTGATGCGATGACGTCACTTCCTCTTTGTCACCTCCAACCGGAAGTGGCACAGATTGTAAATTCACTGACGCCACAGTATGACGTTTGATGAGCCTAGCTTTATTGTTGCTGGTGGTTGGTCTGGAAGGCGGTTGTTGAGCAGGTGGACTGGGGTGTAAAGGTTTTATTTTTCTGTTTGAGCTTACAGAACTTGTACCGTTCAAAGAAACATATCCATTCGTAGTAGAGCCTTGTAACTTCAGAACTCGTAATTTCCTGACACACTGTTTAGCGAAACATTTTCTTGCTACAATCTCTACAGTATCTCCCACCGCGTCCTTGACCTCAACAGATCCGCCATGCTGGATCAAAACGTCCATGACATGGTCTTGGTCCCGACTGACCGCTGCGTGCAGTGGTGTTCGTTTAAATGGCGTTCTTCCGTTCACACTCACACCTGGACAAAGAGAAGCTTAGGATGAATGATGGTATAATGAAATGGTTTGACATTTTGACACTTCGAAATCCGCAGTTAATAAAGCTTCATTACCAAGACGGTGATAGTGGTGAGTGAGTAAATGAGTAAATGTTGTTTAACGCCAGTCAGTTATATTCCAGCCATATAACTGCAGACCAGACAAACCAGTGGTTGATGGGGTACGATGACACTCAACCAACCAAGTTACCGAGCCTAACCAACCGTAACATTTACTTCGCCTCTTCTGACAAGCATAGGTTACTGAGGACAAAATGTGATACGGAATCCCAATTCTGTCAAATGACAATATATAGAGCCATGGGTTCCCTTGAGCCACCAGGGCCCACTTGCACAAAGCGATCTTAGCGCTAAGACCATCGTAAGCCTATGTTAAAGTATGGGAGTTACGATCATCTTAGCGCTAAGATCGCTTTGTGCAAGTGGGCCCAGGTCTTAGCGTCTGTGATACATGGTCTCCGTAATTGTAAGTCAGATTAGCATTGACAAACATCAATTAGTATTTTAACATTAAAACTGGATTGAAATTTATTATATTATTGTTAGGACTATCAATGCTAACTTATCTAGTTGCAGTTGAAAGATGGTGTTAAAACGTAGAGGGAACACGGGAGAATGAAGGATAACCACTTTAGATCCGTTTTTGTCATTTTTAGTTTTATGTCATCCGCATGTCACAAATTGAGTGGTGTTAAAGTCTTCGTCGATCAGTGTGGCATAACACATGGCCCCGTTTTGCAGTACAGCACGTTGGCCCATTATGTATTTAACATAGCTGTAGCATGACTTATGGGGGTGGTATCCTTGAGCATGATCAAGATTGACAATCCCCTACTTACCGAGAGACAGTAGCGTCTGGCACATCTTCAGATGGCCGTAGTAGCTCGCGATGAACAACGACACGAAGCCTCGTTCCTGCATGATGTCCTTGAACTTGCCTTCTTCGTCAGGGTTGGCGACTTTCTGATTCTGAAAGTTCACGGCGCCATGGTGAATCACGTGATCAACGTCGTCTGCCAGAACAGCCTTAAAAAGACGCAGCCAACTATCATGGAGCTGGATCCGTACGATGAACCCGTCCCACACATTCTTGTCCAGCACCAGTCGGTGTTCTTCGTGCAGTGCCACATCATCAGAACAAACCAAGCGGTATATCTGTGCGGGAATCCCCGCCATCAGCTCCAGACGACATCTTAACTCGCGTATAGTGACACCTGACGCAAGGTTTCGAAGCGAGCAGACGTCTTCCGTTGGAAGTATAACAAACAAGGTGAAGCTCATTATCCCGTTTGGGGGCAGCCTATCTTTTTCCTTTGATTCCATAGTTTCAGCCAATCAGAATGTCGTCTTGTGCCTCTTCATTTCGGTCTTCAATCTAGATGAAACAAAACATAAAAAGAATATCATTGTAAAACTGTTTCGTTCAGACTTATACGAAACGTTCGCAGAAACAATTGGCCGAAGAAAACTACATGAGTTCAATAAATTCAGCTATGACCATCAAGATGGACACTATTTCATCATACAACCTGTAAGTATGATGTACAGCACGTGCAGTATGCGCGGCGTCAACATACGCCTGCAGCAGGAGCCAAGTCAACCATGCCGCCAACTCGTCTGTTCACCTATACAGATGTGAGGTGTCGTGAGACAGATTTAGAACACTCTACAATCGGATCAGGACAACGAGTCGCTACAAATCTCCTTACTCAATGTCTTTGTAATTTGTTTTCCCCTTCCTTATCGATCTTCCTGTCAGGATATCGATCACGGGTACTGATTGATTTTTATAGTTACCTCATCTTATGCTCGCCACGTACAACACTCGAGCGTGGCTCAGAACGAACAATGATTTTCTCTTTGCTGTCGTTTACATGTGCAATTTGTCAATGCGATGCGTTAAAAAAAAACAAATAAAAACCCAATAAATTGCAGCGTGTTGGTTGTTTGACGCCGACAAAGACAAACGAGACAGTTGTAGTTTTAACTTGATAGGATGATTTTATTCTCTCAACAAACATTAGCAAGTTAAAAGAACAAACCAGTTAGGTTTGAGTTAATCTTGAAGCCTAATTATGTGTAATGTCTGCGCATGTTCCAATTCTTGGTGCGCTAACTTCCGTTTTTCAAGTTAAAATGATAGAGAACTTATTCAAACTAAAAATGCAGTTTGATTGTGTGGTTTTTTTATTAAAAAAATAATAGTGTTTGTGTGCGTGCGCGTGTGTGTGTGTGTGTGTCTGTGTGCGTGTATGTGCGTGCGTTTATGTATGTGTTGGCGTGCGTGTGAAACTACATGGGGGGTCGTTCCTCAGGCCAGTCGAACCTTCTTTTCCTTCAACTAAATCTGGTGTGTCAGTGTCATTCGGAGAACGGGGTAATAATAATCAACTGTTTGTCTGACGACGACATCAGTATAAGGTTGTGTTCAACACAAACACACAGGTCAAGTGAGTAAGTGCGGCCTTACGCCGTATTTAGGATCTTACAGCCAAGCTACGGTAAAGGAACGCCAAAATGAGCGACGCAGTGTTAATGACGTCACTTCCTGTCATGATATGGTGGTTATATACAGAGTTAATTACCTCCTCTATATCACAGACTACCGGATGCCGTCACCAGCTAACGCTGCATTGTGGGTCATTAGAAATCAGCAGACATGCACAGGATGTGGGTCGGACAATGTGAATACAAATGATGATTGATTGGGCGTTCTCTCTCTCTCGCTCTCTCTCCTCTCCCCTCATCACCATCTCTCTCTTCTCTCTCTCTCATTCATCACCCTCTCTCTCTCTCTCTCTCTCTCTCTCTCTCTTTCAAACATTGAAACAAATTTGATTACCCTACATGTACCATTGAAGCACTTCTTCAAAACACACTTTGTCATGTACTCTCCTTCTAATTACAATGAAAGATAAAATAGATTAAACCTCAGTTAGGTAGGTGAGTGGTTATATTATTTTCTAGAGATGATTGCAGTACAAATCACCTCCACCTCTCACACCAGCACGTAACGACAAACTACGAGGGATCCAAGTATGAGAGCGTGTTGAGAAGGTGCTCTTCGCCGTCCTGACTGGCGTCTGGAAGTGGGGAGTATCATGAACATACCAACCGCCCCGTCAGTTGACAGTGCTGAAGGAAAGCACTTCAAGACGCAGTACGTCTGACACTGTTCAACGCGCGTCTCCGGGAGTATACTCTGTGTATGTAACCATGTGACTAATGACAAACATTAAACACTCCTCTTAACTCACGGTATACATTCACTGTGAACAAAGTGACATGGAAATACACGTGTCAGCAATCGTCGATATATTATCTTCTGGTGGAGCTACGAGCTGGCTTACAGGTTAAACAATACAATACAATACAATACAGGTTAAACAAGTACATGATTACATATACTGAGCACGGGAAAACCTGGTGGCCCAGTGAATCAGAGTTGCGTACGTTAGTTTATCCGAGATTTGAATCCCACATTCAGCCTCGTAATGAGTAGCAAGCAAGCCTGGTTTGACAGCACCGTACCGGAGGGTTACACTAAAGCAACCTGACACACTATGAGTGAACTGAATAAGGGAATGGTCATTTTTAGGTGGGTAGTGGGGGGAGGTGGGGTGGGGATTTTTTAATACACCCCACCACCACCACCCACCCACATGCATGTCATCGTATCCCAGTTGCGTGGATCGATGCTCATAATGTCAATCACTGAATTGTCTGGTCCAGACTCGATTATTTACAGACTTGAATATGTGCGGCGTTAAACAACAAACAAAACAAACACTCACGAACTACCCTATGGACAGAGCCTGCAGTACTGGGTAGAGACGTGATCGTGGTCAAGGGAGACAACCTGTGTCGACCCCACTTGATTTCCATCACGACTCATGGTACTATGCTGGGCACAAAAATAACTTCTGTGGCCCAAGTTGTCTCTCGACCTCATATCTAGACTGAGGTCTACCAGCATATTATAAAATATGTATTAAAGGTCATTTTGCCCTCGATTATGTACATGTATTTATTCGTATTGTTGTTCTTTACGCCGCAGTCAACAATATTCAAGTTATATCACGGCGGTCTGTATAACCAAGCCTGGGCCAGACAAACGAGTGGTTGATATTATGAGCAACGTATTTAACCGATAAAGCTAGTCAGGCTCGCTGGTTGACGAATGTCATTATTTCTCAATTGTGTAGATCGATGCTCATGATGTCAAACACTCGATTTTATGGTCAAGACTCGATTGTGTACACACCGTTATAGCTGTAATATTGCTGAGTGCAGCGTTAAACAACAACAAAAACAATATGAGAATCGATCCCAGCTGCCAGTGTGACACGTCAACACCTACAGCACTGAGCCAAGCAACTGTAAAAACAACAGTATGAGTGAGTGAGTTGGGTTTAATGCCGCTTTTGACAGTATTCCAGTTATATCACGGCATGTCAGCTTAATGTGGGAGGAAAGCCCGAAGTGATGCAGGTCTCAGACGTTTACCACTTCGGTGAAACCCACAAGCACGAGTATGGTGCTGACAAACCTAAAAACATAATCGGGGCGAACCGGGATTCGAACCCACAATCATAAGTTTCTGGCGTGCCCAAGGGACGCAACTCTGCACAGCGAATCGCGGTAGATCAACTCGAATCTAATTGTTTATGACGAATGTAAACTAGACGTCAAGCCGATGTATGTGAACACACGCAAATTACACACTCAGTGCACCCTAAATTCGGACTGAATGATTAATCCAGAGGTCTCAAATCACAGTAACCACTTCCAACTGAAACAGCTGATTTGACGACCCTATCTCCGCGGAAGCTGATATTTACATAAAATAAATTTCAATATTGTCGGCAGGCGTTTGAAATCGTTATAGTACAATACTATTTTCAATTCAAATTAAATCTACTAGCCCTACACACTATGTTTATCTCCTGTAACAAACAGCTGCATACATACCTACATATTAAACCATAGCTCCCCACACCACGCGTACAGTTCATCTTGTGGTCAAGTTCCGATGAAGTACAATTCGATTACATCCACACACACATCACATGTCTCCAGAAAGAAGTGTATGTGGCCATGACGCGACTGGTGGCAGAAGCTGGGTATGGATTACGGGGGCGTTGCAATGTTATTATGCCTACCTACATTTGACCTAGTTCGCAGTCAGCTGACGGTAATTAATGACATGCATGCTTACTATTGTGAACGTAACACCTACTTGTTGGATGGAATGTGAGCACTGCTTGGCGTACACCGCTTATGGCTTGGGCAGGAGTAATGTTTGACTTCTGCTTATGGGTTATATAAATTAGTAATTTTTGTTTCTTTTACAAACTGGATTGGAGGAATTAAATATTTTTGTTTGTTATTTTGATACAAAAAAATTGTTTTTATTATTGTATGTTTTTTACCCAGAACTTTAAGGTCATGTTGGTCAACATAGTCGTTAGCGGAGTGGTAGTGGTAGATGTCGGGCGAGGAAGTGTAGTAACAGTTGGGATACATGTTACAGTTGTGAGTGAGTGAGTGACTTGGGTTTAACGCCGCTTTTAACAGTATTCCAGTCATATCACGGCGTGTCAGCTTAATGTGGGAGGAAAGCCCGAAGTGATGCAGGTCTCAGACGTATACCACTTCGGTGAAACCCACGAGCACGGGTATGGTGCTGACAAACCTAGAAACATAATCGGGGCGAACCGGTATTCGAACCCACAATCATAGGTTTCTGGCGTGCCCAAGGGACGCAACTCTGCACAGCGAATCGCGGCGCCTTAGACGACTGGGCCAACCGTGCCCCCCCCCCCCCCCCCCCCCCCCCCCCTACAGTTGTGAGAATAGATGGGGTAGTATTTGAAGTCGTCGTCATAGTAGAAGTAGTAGTAGTAGTAGTAGTAGTAGTAGTAGTAGTAGTAGTAGCTGTAGTAGCAGTACTAGTTGTAGCAAGAATAGTAGTTGTAGTACTATTAGTAGCAATATAATAAGTAGTAGCAGTAGTATAGTAGTAGTAGTAGTTGAAGTAGAAGAAGAAGTAGTGGTGGTGGTAGTAGTAGTAGTGCAATGTAGTAGTAGTTGTAGTAGTAGTAGTGGTGGTGGTAGTAGTAATAGTAGTAGTTGTTGTAGCAGCAGGAAAAGAAGTAGCGGTGGTGGTAGTAGCAGTAGTAGTAGTGGTAGCAGCAGCAGTAGTAGTAGAAGTAGTAGTTGTACCGTTGACAATGCCCACTCTTTACACCAGGTAACAGATAGACTACCTGCTTTATTAACGGCGGCCAATGCCAGACCGACACAGCTCACAGCGCTATCCCACCACGCTGGGCCGAGCGCCGTGTAGATCGGGGATTTCACGCATTAATGTAC